TTAAGAAATTGCGATTTAACCTATTTCTTGAATCGATCAATGCGGATATGCAATAATTAATCCCGCTCACATCCAGAACAACACAGAAAAGGTCGGAAGCGACCAGACTTCACATCGGAAAGGTCAGACAGCCGCGTCTTTGGTCACCGAGAAATCCTGTACAGACGCTCAGGGGCTGTTGACAGCGTGGTGATTACAAGCAATTAACACATAATCCCGGTTGCTCGAAGACATCAGGCGTTGATTGTCGAGATCGCTCACCTCATATTGTCCGTTAGCAATTTGTAATACGTGATGATGTTCTAAGATGTTGACGGATCAAAAGAAATGTAATAACAAAACATCCGTCCGAGACAACACTATATATCATGTAACATGTTTGCGAATGGACAATGTTGAGCAGATTATTGATGGTTACTACCGTTATCACAGCGTTGTATAAAATCATCGTTTTAATAATGACCGTCATACCAAAAGACGTTAAAAAATGGTACTTTTTGTAACCCTGCCTGGCGCTCAGCATTAGGGGATAGAACAAGGATTGGTCGCCTCGGATTTGGAACATGGTGTTAAACTAAAGTGGTCATTTTAAAATTGGTGTCTCAAGAATGTAGCATTTTCAAACCGTGGAGAGATCGTTATGCCTGGAGATAGCATAATGGCGTCATACCAAAAGACGTTAAAGATGGTACATGTTGTTATCCTGCCTGGAGCACAGCATTGGAGGATAGAACAAGGACTGGAGTGAGTGAGTGAGATTGATTTTACGCCGCTTTTAGCAATATTCCAGCAATATCACGGCGGGGGACACCAGAAATTGGCTTCACACATTTTGCCCATGTGGGGAATCGAACCCGGGTCTTCGGCGTGACGAGCCAACGCTTTAACCACTAGGCTACCCCACCGCCCCAACAAGGACTGGAAGCCTCGGAGTTGGTATATGGTGTTAAACTGAAGTGATCATGTTACAAAATTCAGGTGGTGTCTCAAGAATGTAGCATTTTAAAACCATGGAGAGAGCGTGTGTCCGGAGATCGGATGATGACGTCATACCAGAAGACGTTGACAGATGGTACTTGCTGTTAACGTCTCTCAAGGAACAAAACAAAGACTGGTCGCCACAGAGTTGGTATACGGTGTCTTTGTTAAAGGGAAGTAATCTTGTTAAGGTTCAAGTGGTATCTCAGGGATGTAACATTTTAAATCCGGTATCAGTCCTGACTAGTACAAACACCCACCATGCGTGTATACGTGGCCCTGCAACACAGTCCCAAGACTCTTGAACGCCGCGTCAAAACCAATTTTGCGGACCATACATTATTTCTACGACATGGTGGTTACCTTTATCCTTTACGGTTATTATTTGCGCTACAGGGTGAGGTAGCCTAGTGGTTATAGCGTTCACTCGTCACGCCAAAGACCCGGTTCCATTCCCCAAGTGTGTACAATGCGTGAAGCCCATTTCTGAAATCCCCCGCCGTGATATTGCTGGAATATTGCCAAAAGCGGCGTAAAGCTAAACTTTCTCTCACACACACAAGCTCCCATATTTTCGTTTGCTTTAACCACGTGAATTATCTTGGGTAAAACGATTTCCAGCATGCTACAGTCGTGGATTGTTGAAACGTGGCAGATTGGGACAAAACGTCCACCAGGTGACGTTGTTTTGACAACTTTACTTTCCTAGCGTTGTCTTCGGCGATTGGGTTTGATTAAGCGCGGCTAATAAATGGATTTCAGTAATACCACTGTGGCATTATGGGAGAGATCAAAGAGGAATCAATGACGTCCACAGGGTGGATGAAACTCACCATTGAGAGTATGGTGTTGTCTAACTATAATTCTAAATGAATGGGGGACAGTAGAACGAATCGAGTGTAATTTCAACGTCATGGGACAAGAAGGTATCTACCAAATCCTCCGCGTTGATAGGCAAGAATTATCTGTTAAGGGTTTTACGTACTGAGCACAATAAATCTCGGAAAACTTCTACGATAATAGTCAAGCACGAATCTGGCAATACTTTCATGTACTGGTCATGAATGAATCTAGCAAACCTTCTACGTTAATAGTGCAGAAAGAACAAACAAAACATCTACGTTAACTTTCAAGCGAGGAATCTAACCTATAGTCTGTTTGCAGTGAAAACGTACCGATGAATTTCACTTTAAACAAGAAAGTAAATAAAATAAAGTGAAATTAAGACTGCGAATCCTCATAAATTTGCCTTGCCAACTGAACATTTAAATCTCAGAGTTTTATTCATTGTAGGACAAAAGTTGTTTAACAAACGATCATACATTCAAATCGCTATTATTGGTTTGTATTACAAGGGGGTGAGCGCAGTAGATGGAACAGTGAAACAAATGCCCCTGCGGTTCGTGATGGGCGTTAACTTAGACCAACTCTACTTGTTCTCGGTGTTTCATTTAATGTGCATACACCTTTGTAATACAAACCAATAAAAGCGATTTGAAACTATGATCGTTTGTTAAACAACTGTTATCCTAAGTTAAATAAAATTCTGAGATTTAAATGGTCAGTTGGCAACGTAAAATTATGAGGATTCGCAATCTTTATTTCATCTTATTCGATTTACTTTTTTGTTTAAATTGACATTCATCGGTACGTTTTCAATGCAAACAGACTTTAGTCCATAGTCAAGTACAAATCTGGCAAACGTGTTTCCTACTGGTCATGAAGGAATCTACCTAAGATACATAGCATTCACTGACATGTCAGTGAACGCTATGTATCTTAACTAGAAGGAATCTTCCAAATCATCTACGCTACAGTCAGAAAGGAGTCTATCGACTCCATAGTGAAGGTGAATATATATGTTAACAGTCAAAACTTAATCAATAGTCAACAACGAATTTACCCAACCTGAATCTTTAGTCAGAACCTAAACGTTCTGCTTCAATAGTCAAGGATGATCAAGCGAACGGATCTTGTAAATGCCTATTTTGTTTGTCAAGTTGTTAAGCTTGTGCAGGTCTGCTGTGTTGTGAGGTGATGGGGTACTGTAATCCTACTGGATCTGAGGGAACGGATTAGCTAGCATATCGTACATTATTTAACATGGTTTGAATATATTATCTCCCGTGCTTTAATAAAGAATATGAATTCATCATGTCCACAAGTTTTCTGGTTTTCACTAGTGTTGGGAATTGGTTAAAATCTCATAATTGATGATTGGTTTATTACAACCGATCAATCATCGAAAAAAAATTGGTTAGCGTCATTTATGAAATTTGTTAATGCACCTAAAAATAAGGAAAAAACATGTAGTTTTGGGGGTTTTTTTTGCAAAATTTCACATCTTTAAAGGATGACTAGTATGTCAGGAACAAAAATTTCTTGGGAGTCTTTAAGATAAATTCAATCATGAGTTGAAACGAACTTGTAGTGCTTATGAAATGTAACAGACAAAACCAACCTTGTGAAAAATATTGTTTATGAAAACAAGTGTTCCAGAATTGTTTGTGTTCGATTATGAGAAAACATGATCGATTGCTTGGTCGTTTAGTCACTGCGACCAATCTTCGATTATTTCAATTAATCGGACCACCACTAGTTTTTACAAACCATTGAAAGAGGGCCAGCCACTGACCCATTAGCCCGTGGCAAGTGAAAATCCAGTCACTGGCCCGACTGGATAATGAATTTTCATGGGGTCCTTTTGTCAATATATCACTCTCCCTGACTTATTAAGCTATAACACACTTTTAAACCATACACTATTATGACCCGATACAAATGTTTATCATATTAGCAGCTTAATGTTAAAACCCTTGTCTTCCTTCAAATTTCAGACTAATGAATTATTTTGTGGACTATAACCTTCCGGCATGGCTGGCCCTACTGGCCAGTTCAATTTGGAAACATTGTTAAAAAGTACCTGCACGGTTCAAATCATAAACCAAAGTGATCATCCAAGTCATATGTATGAATGTGGTTAAACACTGTAGTTTCAAATGAAAGGTTCCTTGTATTGGGGTAAAAAGTCAGAGACAATTCCATTAGGATTGGGCCAAGCTTATGCTTCCAGCTGTTGAACAAAGGGTGTAATATCCAACAACTTTAATACACTGCTAATAGCCGCTAACTCCCAACACCTATGATCAGATTTCCTCTGAACAGACTTGTCATGCTCTCAAAGACAAGAGACCGCCTCCGTGGTGTAGTGGATAGAGCGTCCGCCCGGAGAGCGGAAGGTCGCGGGTTCGATCCCAGACCGCATCATACCAAAGACGTTAAAATATGGTACTTGTCGGTCCCTGCCTGGCGCTCGGCATTAATGGGGAGACTGGTCGGCTCGGAGTCAGTATAATGTGTCAGGGGTATTCATGCTTCACTGCCGCATGGTATCCCAGTGGGCTAGCACTATAAAACCAGCTTAAGTCTGAGCTAGTACAAGCAGCCGCACATACACATACACACGCATGCACGTCGTCATAGGAGCAAAATATTCTCAAGCACGACGTTAAACCCAATTTCACCTCACCTCATCCACCTCACCTCAAAGACAAGTCTCTTCCTTCTACACATCAGGACCCTGGACCCTATTTCTCTGTCTATCGAAACTGTTGAGTCTGTTCTTTATCAGCATACCACAACATATGAAAGTTGCACTGTTCCGCTAGCCTGAGACAAGTAAACATCTAATTATGGAAGTCCCCATTGACTGGTGGGATCAGGGGTTATCAATCTGAAGCAGTCATTAATGCAGTATTTTTGTAACAAAATGGAACTGAATAGAAGTGACAGAAAACTTAAACACATTAAACATTGTTGCAAACTTTGAGGACTGGGGAAATAAGGTTTCCACTTGTCCCCAGGACAAAACAAATTTCTTATTTTTTAATGTGAAGTGGAAAGCGGGTCTAAATCCATCAATATATTGTGTTATCAGAAACCAGCGCCAAACTACTCAGGTTGTGTGAACGATCACATTATGATCACCCATGGTCATTGAACATCAATGTACAACAAAACACTTTTCTCCAGGCTGAGTGTTTTATCAAAAAGTATATACATAATATACAATAGTGTATTATACATATACAATCATATAACCAATAATAAAGTGAAATAACAGAAAACAACTTGTCCAAATCACTCTGAAACATCTCTATAAACAGAAGTTCCTCAGGAGAGTATACTTGGAAGTCCCCTGCTCGCCATGACAACGCTCATCACCAGAGTGACGAGTACAGAAACAGACAGCATTCACATCTGCATCTTTAACTCGCCATGACAACACTCATCACCTGGGTGACAAGTACAGAAACAGACAGCATTCTCATCTGCATCTTTAACTTACCATGACAACACTCATCACCAGGGTGACAAGTACAGAAACAGCCGGCATTCACATGTGCATCTTTAACTCACCATGACAACACTCATCACCAAGGTGACAAGTACAGAAACAGACGGCATTCACATCTACATCTTTAACTCGCCATGACAACACTCATCACCAGGGTGACGAGTACAGAAACAGCCGGGGCATTCACATTTGCATCTTTAACTCACCATGACAACACTCATCACCAGGGTGACAAGTACAGAAACAGCCGGCATTCACATGTGCATCTTTAACTCACCATGACAACACTCATCACCAGGGTGACAAGTACAGAAACAGCCGGCATTCACATCTACATCTTTAACTCGACATGACAACACTCATCACCAGGGTGACGAGTACAGAAACAGCCGGGGCATTCACATTTGCATCTTTAACTCACCATGACAACACTCATCACCAGGGTGACAAGTACAGAAACAGCCGGGGCATTCACATGTGCATCTTTAACTCGCCATGACAACACTCATCACCAGGGTGACAAGTACAGAAACAGCCGGCATTCACACTGCATCTTTAACTCGACATGACAACACTCATCACCAAGATGACAAGTACAGAAACAGCCGTCATTCACACCGCATCTTTAACACTGCATCAATTTCCAGGGATGCTGACTTGCCAACTCCAGAGACCACCTCAAATCCATGTTGTCTTTTTGTTGTATCACGACATTTGTAGAGGCCTGAATGAGTCATGTGGCTTCCTGGTTGAAACCCATCAATGAGACACTTCATAACTTTAATACGTCAACACAATGTCCGAGCCAACACATTCAGCAACCCTGCCTTACAATTACTAGTATTACCTTTTTCCCATCTAGAACAGATATGCCTGATCATATTTGCACAAGCTATGTCAACCATTTACAAACTGAACATCACATTTACTGTCGGGCCATGTCATAATCACTACTTCAAGCCTTTTTTTGAAGCTACGATTTTTGCAAGTCCATTATTGTTCCATTGTCCCTGTCATCGTTGACATACAAAAGTTTAACTTTTCAAGGTGTCATCCACAGGTCTTTCAGCACTAGGTTTACTCCTGAAGATGGTGGTATATTTGACTGTCATCATCTGTTTATTCATTTTTCACACAGTCGTCCCATCCTCACAGAATCAGTCTTTAGCATCTCCGATTCCATCGGCATTGATTGCAAACATAGCTTCAGCTTCTGGTAGACATGGAGAGTCGTATATCTTGCAGATCCGTGTCTCGCCTCTGCCCTTTCTCAAATACAGTCTGAAAAATGTCGAAAAGCAGGTCACGGTAAATGATGAGCGTGTGAGCATGAATTTTAATAGGCAATGAGAGTAGGAACTAGTTCCTACAGTCAGTGAGTGAGCAAGGTTTTACACTGCTTTTTAAATAGTCCAGCAACATCATGGCTAGGGACAAAAATGGACTGCACACATTTTACCCATGTGGGAATTGAACTTAAGTCTTAGGCATAATGAGTCTTGAACAGTATTTCAATTACATCATTTTCATGAAGTTGTGGCTGGAAAGCCTGAAGTGTAAGCTATAGTCATGTATCATTGCAAACCCTCCAGCATGCATGACCAGGACCCATAATTTTTCATAATTCATATTTTCCATCTTTAATTTCTACATGGGATAGGAGTACCTCACAAAATTAATTTCTGTATTTATTTCTGCCAAACATGGTGTAGGTCATAGCTATGATCAACATAGATTCTGCTAACTATTCTCATGTTTATCCAGACTGATTTCATAACTTGACTGAAAAACACCAATGTGTCATGACGCCCCATCAAACAGTCCTACTTTCTCACCTTGTTGTAGATGCATGAGCAATGATATTTCCACCGATGGGTTTCTTGGGGTCAGCAGTGAACATGGACGCACCGTCCACTTGAGCTACCACCTGGTTACTGATGACCACAGCAACTCCAAACTAGACAACCAAATAAACCATTCAGTACTGATCAACGGTAATATTCCTGAGAGGTTAAAGAAGGGACAGCCACAGACACTATCTGACACTCGGTCTATTTGTTGTTTTATCTGGAGAAGAAGATCATGAAGATCTAGGTTAGAATTGATCTTCAGTAACCGATGCTTGTCGTAAGAGGAGACTAACAGGATCGGGTATTCCAGCTATTTAGCAGCGATCTGTAAATAATCGAGTATGGACAAGACAACCCAGTGATCAACAGCATGAGCATTAATCTACATAATTGGCATACGATGACATGTGTCAACCAACTCAGCAAGCCGAACCACCTGATCCTGTTAGTTGCCTCTTACAACAAGCATGGGTTACTCATTAACAAAAAATGATCTGCCATTGAGTTGCCAGTTCAAAGGTAAAAGTAGCTAGAAAATGTCAAAAGTCCTTCCTGAATTTTACTTGTATCTGACCAGCAGACTAGCAGTTCCCTGTTATCATTGTTAACATGTATATGTGCTGACAATTCAAAGACACATTTGTGAAAGATAAGCGCAAGACATGATCCCATTCCAATATTTTTGACAGGACAACTGGGCCACACAATCTAGGTGCCACTCATCCTGAAACACATGTCTATAATGTATCTCCCTTGTGTACCAGGGTGAGAGAAGAATCAGGCTTACATACAAAGGGAAACAACTCCAAGGATTTTACATCAGTTCAATGACTGCTTTATGACTCTAATAGACAAACGTTTAGTCTCTGAATATATATCATTTTCATAGTAACAAATAATTTAATAAACCCATTTAAATTGAAAAGGAGCCCCAGTTAGATGGGAAGGGATCCAAATCTAGACTTGCTTCATTTAGGGCTTATTATTGCAGGGTGGGCTAGGCAATAGGGAAAATAATATGGTTCAGGGACTGTGGTTAAGAGGCTCTGCGATAGGGTATCACTCTCAGTGTGTTCTCGGTGAATATCATTTTGCAGTTTTTCAGCAGAATAAAATTACTCTTCTTACATAACAATGCCACTATCAAATATAACACAGTCCACTCAACAGGATGACAACATATCACATGGTCAACCAGAAATGGCATCAAATCTCATCAACCCATACACAGTGCCCTCATGGCTGTCAGCTCGCCTGAACTTACAGAATGTACCATGCATCACTGACCTCATCAGCTAGTCTCAGCAGCATCCTGAGGAACCTGGCCAAGTGCATCTGTCGAGCTGACAGCTCACCCCGTCCTGAGTAGTCGGTCCGGTACAGAGCTGTGGCACTGTCTACAATCAGCAGGGCATATCTGAAAGTCAGATGATTCACAGTTGAAGACAAAAAGCATCCAACAGTGTCAATACTGAACTGCCAGAACCAGCACAACATGGACAAAATAATTCATGAGTTTTTGGACCATATCATAGACATAGAAGACGGTGAATATGAAGAACCATAACTCATTAAAATTAAACTGTTTGTTTAAGTTTTTAAAAATTCCAATGTTTCTTCAGTTAAGATCAGCTTACCCAGAGAGATATCCAAAACTAAATTCAAAATCATGGCTTTGGTTATTGGTCTGAAGGTTCTGGCATAGAGCTTAAAACAAATTTAAGTGAGGAACCTATCAGAGTGAGTGAGTGAGTTTAGTTTTACGCCGCACGCAGCAATATTCCAGCTATATGGCAGGGGTCTGTAAATAATCGAGTCTGGACCAGACAATCCAGTGATCAACAGCATGAGTATCGATCTGTGAAATTGGGAACCGATGACATGTGTCAACCAAGTCAGCGAGCCTGACAACCCGATCCTGTAAGTCGCCTCTTACAACAAGCATGGGTTACTGAAGGCTCATTCTAACCAAGAACTTCACGGGTTGAGTGGTAGAGAACAAAAGTTACAATGTCAAACTTACTCCATAACAGTTAGACAATCCTAAACCCCTTCTGCTTGGCCGTGATGTGTGATAACTGATACATATATTACAGACAAATTTGGACTGAGGTGAAGATTTTCAGGTCTTAATATGGGCTGTTAATACTGATTACTTACGGTAGGGTTTTATGCGATGCACAAATGTGCGTCCAGTACACACAAATGTAGAGAATGGATGCAGAAAAAAAATTCGCTTAGTCCTTGGCGGACATACCTTTTATTCATTGTACCAACAACACATCTATGACCTTGCTAAGTGTTTGGTTGTTTCTTTCAGAGCAGTTAAAATTATTTCATCATTTCATCCACCAGTCCACATGATCAATGATTCATTCAGGCTCTAAAGAATGATCAAAATGTACAGTTCTCTACACTGTTACTTCACAGGCCCCTCACATTGCCTGCAAGGACCCCAAGAACTTATAATTGGGGGTCCCCGGTGTTATGAGAGTGTGTTTTTTCGTAATTTGTAATCTGTAATATCATTGAATAAGTGATAGTTATTATTGGTCACAATGTTTAAAGTTTTGAGTGTGGGTTTGGGCTCGCTTCTCGCATCATATATGTTCAATGGTAATAGCATTTTTAGAGGTACGCCTTTTGAGATAGCGCTTCAGAGTTGCCTCCCTTGGCAATCTTGTTTAATTAAGGCCTTTTATCATGCCGTGGAGTTTTCCATCGATTTCGACGGATTTCTATAAAGTTCTGAGTGGATAATGATACAGCCTAGCTTTGCTAGAATGCTTGAAAACTGTGTAAGAGTTATATAAAGGCTGGTTGTTGCGTTGTGTGGCGGGACTAACACACAGACTTTTCACATGACTGGATTTATACACATCTGTCTGCCATCGTTGTCCAACATTTCAGAACTGACCCTGCTTGCCTGCTGCCACTGTCAACGACGTTCAATCAGTATATCTGCTCTCGATGTAAATGTCAAAACTCTGGTGAGTTAATATTTTATAATTGTGACCCAATATTTTAAATTTGTGACTCAATTGCATTGTACTAGAAATCTGTATTGTCATTCATTGTTTATTCAATATATTATTGAATATTTTAGACTTGTCTGTGTCCTATTTTGCTGGTTCAAAGGGGACATATAAACCTTTTATCATAGCAATCGATGTCTTTTTTTCATTATGCAAATTTTTAAATATATTCTGTAAATTTGTTTTACCAGGACTGAACTTCAAATGCCTGTCCTTAGATAGTTTTCAAAGTTAGTAATGATCATGATGACAGAAAAACTTCCAACCAAAAATTGATAAAATCATGAAAATGTTCTGATGCTACAGTTCTCCAGCATTAACACTCATTTCAATCTGATTTACTCTTGTTATATATAGCCCATATACCATGTATTAGGACACTGATGAATGTACCGAAACAATAAATGATGGACCGAACTGTCCAATGCACAGTCTGTACTGGGTAACATACCAATACAGATGGACATTTTCTTTCATACATAAACATGATATACTGGACTGGGTAACATAAATCCCAGTTTATTGTCCTTGATATACTGAAATCCCAGTGAATTGTCCGTGTTGCTAACGTATCTAGTTGTTATTTCTTGGTCTGGCTATCAACACAGAAGATATAGATCAATAATCATTCACTGAACATTGATCAATTACCTAATAAAAACTTATGAGAAGCAACAGAGCTAAAATGCAAAAACATCTGAAATAATTCAATATATTTCAGATCACTTGTGAGTGCGGTCATCTTTAGGCTTAGATTAAAAACACTGTCCTGAACGTAATTTAGAATCAGCCCACTTATAAAGATCTAACCTTGTGTACTCAGGAAAGAAACCTTTCACACTGCCCACTAGACCACAGGACCAGTGAGTGGACAATAATTAGTGGTCCTGTCTGTACTTCACTGGTCCAAAATAACATACATAGGTTTACTTAACTATCAATACAAAATTCACTGGCCACCAGGAGTCTGAGGACCACTGTAAACTTATCATTCAGTGGTCCTAAAGAATTTTATTAGCCAGGGACCACAGGACCAGCGTAAATTAACCCACACTGTGTACTGACTGAGTCAATTAAAACCATATTTCATCACAATAGTTTATGTACGATATTATCAAATAGAATTTTCATATTGATAAAGAATAATCAATTTTCCCACCCACGATAATCCTATTATCAATCTTTTTAGCCAGCCCAAGTTATTTCCTTGAACACAGCTTCAATATCATCGGAATAGATGGATGATTCACGTACCTGGATTCCGCCATCATGGCCGCTGCCTGTATGAGTAGCTGAGACTGGTGGTCACTGTTGTAGGCCCGAGCATACGCCACATTGTCTAGCACATCACTGCCGGACAACCCATACCTGTAGCCAGTCAGGGAACAAAGTGGTATTAGGCCTAAAAAATAATGTTGTGGTTCCGATTACCAGACCAACCCTTGAATTCTGGGGCCGACTCAAATTTTTTTATGCGGTATGAATAAAATAAGCTTTAAGATGCCATTGTTTTTCCCCGGCACCGACGGACATCAGTCAATTTATTAGAGAAAGTCAACATGATGGCCGCAAGCTTGATTGAATAAACAATTACAGTAAATGTGTTATTACTTATACTTTACTTCTAAAAAAATGTAAAAAAAAATCCTACCTACCTATCCAAAATTTTAAAGAGGTGTAATCGGAACCACATTATATTTATTTGGCCTTAACACTGTCTAACATCCATATGAGAATGTGGAAACCTGACTGGTTCTAGTGATACTACATATCCTGCCTTGCAGGGAAATGAACTTCTGAGCTAGAGAGTATATCCTTTTTACCCAAACCATGAAAAAAGAAGTTGCACCTGGACTTAAGCTGGAACAATAAATGCCCCCATCTACAAAGCAAAAAGATGCACATTCTTTACAAGTCAGGTGAAAACAAAAGTTCACCCCAGCTCAAATGACAAGCTCTTTTTTGACCGTTTTTTATCTGAGTAACTTCTTTTACAATGCCAGATCGGAACATGCAAGAGGTTGTTTGTTTGAGCTCAATGCTGCAATATTCCAGCTATATGATGGCAGTGTGTAAATAATCGAGTCTGGACCAGACAATCCTGTAAGCTGCAGAATGAGCATCAATCTATGGGGACATCGTGGGCAAGCTGTCTGAGGCACCAGGCTAGTGATCCAGCGAGCATGAGGTGCCGGGATCGAGCCCACCTGTGACCAGGTGTAAATACCTTGGAGTCAATTTTTTGTGCAGACTCTTTCAGTGTTGACACAACCCCTAGTGTACAGTACACAACCCTGTGCACTTAAAAGAACCCAGGAATCTGGACAAGGTACTGTGACTATGTGTCCAAGTTCACCCAGCTATGAATGGGTACCTCGTAAAGATGGAAAAGTCACAATAACTTGGTGCTACTAGTGGCTGCAAGAGTTGTATGATCCCCAGGGAGTTGAGACTGATAATACAATGTGACGTTTGAGATTGACATCCAATGATCGAGGGGAAAAACAGTGCCTTCAGCATGTACTAGTTGCATGGATATGTGCGCTATATAAATATCCTATCGTATAATAAAAAATCTACACAATTGGGATATGATGCCATGTGTAAACCAAGTCAGTGACCCTGACCTCCCAGCCAATTAGTCATCAGAGGAGTTTCTTTTTCTCATGCCATACATGTTTCCCCAATCATTTTAACCAAATTCTAACATTCCATTATCAGTTTCATTAGGCGACAAAAAGCAAGTGCTGCTTTGGCCAACATTCCAGAAATATCATCACGAATGACACCAGACATTGGCTTCACACTTTGTATGCATACAAATATTCCAGCCCAAGGTCCTCGGCGTGACCAGCAAACACTTTAACATCTTCACTACCACTTTGTCACGGATATGGTAATTCTCTCAACTTTCGATGTGTCATGAAGTCACATACCTCTCAGCTACAGCCAACAGTCTCTCCGGTCGGAAAGTCCCCTCCGTGTCGATGTACATCGCCTTGCCTTCCCCTCCTCCCATATCAATGGGCAGCTGTGGAGACAAAGTCCACTACATTTACACAGTGACATGTCCAAAAAGTCCAAAAACAGTAGTAAATTGTTTTCTGGTTTACCGTATTCAACTTATTTAACGTCCTGGACAGGGGCACTCTCCTACCCAGAGTTCCATGCGGCAAGCCAGCATAGTACCTCTGCCACAGGCCAGAAAAATGTGACGATTCGTCACATCTTGCAATGTCCATTCAATATAATGTACAGATTTCTTTTACTCTTTAATTTTTGACGAGTCTACACATCTAACTAAACATCTTTAATAGAATGGTTTAGTCTCACTGAGAAAATATCAAAAAACATGTAACACTATTTCGATTTTCGTAGCGATCCTTTGTTTACATAGGTTGTACGGCTCCACATGCTGTCATCGAAGCTGATGGAGAGCAAACGATGCAGCCAGTTTGATATCTAAATATGTACTGTCATAGACCTTACTGTCGCAGTTGTGGAAGAATATATATGTAACAATGTAAAACATTATGAAGAGAGCGCGGAAAAGCTCCAGTCTCTTCTTATTATGAATATACGCGTTTGATTACAAACAAGAGAAAAGTCCGGTCACGTGATATGCAAATTAGCCTGTGGCAGTGATGTTATGTTAGTCATCGCTGTATGTTATACATTTCTAATAGGAGGCACATAACAGGGACGGGCATTAAATATGTCAAATACAGTAAGAAGTCCGGCTTTTACTGCCTTCACTGAGCCAGATTGCTGGATCAATTAGGGTGCCTCATTACCAGCATACAAACCAAATCTAACCCTGGCTACATCAACAACAAAAGCCATGGTTGGCAAACTGTAACCCCCATGTGAAAACAACGATAACAGTCAGGTCACAGCTGAGATCAGGTTAATATTCATCAGTCACCTGTGTTAGTAAGGTGGGTTTATTACCCACGTGGTCAACGTATGAGTAGTTGCATACTGATCTCGTACGTCGCACGAGTGTCGTATCGCGTTGACCTGGTCATAATGACTTGACCTGAGATTGTAACGATTTGATTTAATTGGATAACCAATGACCTCTCAATTAGGTCACGTTGTGACGGAACTTCTTTTTCATTCATAACAAACACGTGAATTCATTCATTCTACAACTTATATGCATTGTGGGAATGTAAACATTGCAAACGTTGCCGTATCGCTGTTTATTAAGGGTCGAACTGAGACATTATATCCGTCGAAAAACATAAACGCAATGTTTCCACCAGTGATGTTAGCCGAGTGAAGCAACTGCAAACCAAGAAACGGGGTGCTACGGAGTAGTTTAATGTAGGAGGCTGTACAAGGTGATGACAACTGACATGCATCGTGACGTCGGTTACCAAGTGGGCAGACGAGCAAGGCGTAATGACGTCATTACAGTGTGACGTCATGCAAAATACAGAACAAAATTCTTCCGCAACCTCTTTATTAAACCGGTTTCGGTTTGAAACAATAAAATTATCAAAAATAGGCTATTTATTCAATTTAATGCATGTAAGACGTGGGTATTAAATAAAATAACACTCTCGGTCTCATAACATACGAATTATACGAAACTCGTGACCTTCCTATGGTTTCTGACCTCGCTTTCTGCTCGGTCAAATACCATAGGAACAACACTCGTTTCGTATAATTGTATGTAATGAGACCTCGTGTAGTATTCTCTATTGATGCCACTTTTAAGAATATTCCAGCAGTCTTTCTTCAGTTACAGGGAACATGTTCAGTTACAGGGAATACATCAAACCTTTGCCCAGTTACAGGGAACACATCAACCGTTGACCAGTTACAGGGAACACATCAACCTTTGACCAGTGACAGGGAACACATCAACCGTTGACCAGTGACAGGGAACACATCAACCTTTGACCAGTGACAGGGAACACATCAAGCCTTTGACCAGTTACAGGGAACACATCAAACCTTTGACCAGTAACAGGGAACACATCAAACCTTTGACCAGTAACAGGGAACACATCAAACCTTTGACCAGTTACAGGGAACACATCAAGCCTTTGACCAGTTACAGGGAACACATCAACCTTTGACCAGTTACAGGGAACACATCAACCGTTGACCAGTTACAGGGAACACATCAACCGTTGACCAGTGACAGGGAACACATCAACCTTTGACCAGTTACAGGGAACACATCAAGCCTTTGTTCAATTACAGGGAACACATCAAGACTTTAACCAGTTACAAGGAACACATCAACCTTTGACCAGTTACAGGGAACACATCAACCTTTAACCAGTAAACAGAACACATCAAGCCTTTGACCAGTTACAAGGAACACATCAAACCTTTGACCAGTTACAGGGAACACATCAACCTTTGACCAGTTACAGGGAACACATCAAGCCTTTGACCAGTTACAGGGAACACATCAAGGCTATGACCAGTTACAGGGAACACACCAAGCCTTTGTTTAATTACAGGGAACACATCAAGACTTTAACCAGTTACAAGGAACACATCAACCTTTGACCAGTTACAGGGAACACATCAACCTTTAACCAGTAAACAGAACACATCAAGCCTTTGACCAGTTACAAGGAACACATCAAACCTTTGACCAGTTACAGGGAACACACCAAGCCTTTGTTCAATTACAGGGAACACATCAAGACTTTAACCAGTTACAAGGAACACATCAAGCCTTTGTTCAGTTACAGGGAACACATCAACCTTTAACCAGTAAACAGAACACATCAAACCTTTGTTCAGTTACAGGGAACACATCAACCTTTAACCAGTAAACAGAACACATCAAGCCTTTGACCAGTTACAAGGAACACATCAAGCCTTTGACCAGTGACAGGGAACACACCAAGCCTTTGACCAGTTAACAGAACACATCAACCTTTGACCAGTTGCAGGCAACACATCAACCTTTAACCAGTGACAGGGAACACACCAAGCCTTTGTTCAGTTCCAGGGAACACATCAAACCTTTAACCAGTTAACAGAACACATGAAGCCTTTGACCAGTGACAGGGAACACATCAAGCCTTTGACCAGTCAGCTTGGTGAGACAAGTTATAGTTGCAGCAAAGTAAAGATGAGACAACAAACCTACCTGACAAGTGACTGCTAGAGTGTGGCATAGCTGTGTCTTGCCGGTTCTGAACTCGCCAAATATCTCTGTGATAGAACCAGTCTCAATACCCCCTGTAATGAAGTATCAAGAGAAAAATTCACAAGATGTATGAAAGGTAACAAATATGGTTATGTTGTAGTCGCCTCTGACGACAAGCTTTGGTTACTGAAGATCAATTCTAGCCGGGATCTTCAAGGTCCTGGTTGATAGCAACCATTAGTTGGTTAATACTTGCAGTATGCCTTGTAAGGAGGTAAGGTGAGGTGAGGTGAAATTGGGTTTTACGTTGTGCTTGAGAATATTTCGCTCATATGACGACATGCATGCGTGTTTATGTGTATGTGCGGCTGCTTGTACTAGCCCAGACTTAAGCTGGTTTTATAGTGCTAGCCCACTGAGACACCATGCCAAAGTGAAGCATTAATACCCCACTCAGACACATTATACTGACTCCAAGCTGACCAGTCCTTGTTGTACCCATTAATGCCCGAACGCCAGGCAGGGACCAACAAGTACCATATTTTAACATCTTTTGGTATGACGCGGTCGGGGATCGAACCCGCAACCTTCCACTCTCCTGCCTTGTAATGTGATCTGAGTATTGGTACAAATGTTGTCATTTCATGCCATGCCTATTCCACTCTCAATGGTCTTACCTTGAAGGAGCTTGTCAAGTTCCTTTGACCCTGTTGTTACCTGGATGATTTCAGATCTCTTCTGGTGGAACTCGGTGGCCGTGGTGAAGCCCATTGGAACCAACTTGGCTGACTCACCCTGTAAACAGGCTGAGTCAATAAATAACTGAATAAAGTTTGACACACATTTTACCTTCGTAATGTCCCACAATACAGTGACGGTGACATTCAAGTATAAGAGACCATACAAAAGTTGTCTGGTTGGTTTGTTTCTTTGTTGTTTTATGACACACACAGCAATATTCCAGCTATATGGCAGCAGTCTGTAAATAATCGAGTCCGGACCAGACAATCCAGTGATCAACAGTATCAGCATCGATCTATGCAATTGGGATACGACGACATGTGTCAACCAAGACAGCGAGTCTGACCACCCAATCCCGTTAGTCGCCTCTTACGACAATCATGGGTTGCTGAAGACCAATTCTAACCAGGATCGTCATGTGTCATGTGGGGAATGGAACCGATCTTGGAGAAAGGCTCAAACGCTTTAACCACTAGGCAATCCCACCACATCGCTAAAGTGGTATAAATGTGAACTTGTGGATCGAGAAACATATCTTAATAACATGACTCAAATCTGCTTGAAATTTTAAAAAATCAAGTCTAATCCCTTTTCATGGGGAATTGGTCAAGTGAAACTGGCATCAAGCCAAAACACAGTTACAGGGAACACATCAAGCAAATTTTCCAGTTAGACAAGTTAAGTGAGTGAGTGAGTTTAGTTTAATGCCGCACTCGGCAATATTCCAGCTATATGGCGGCGGTCTGTAAATAATCAAGTCTGGACCAGACAAACCAGTGATCAACAGCATGAGCATCAATCTAAACAATTTGGAACCGATCCCGTTAGTCGCCTCTTACGACAAGCATGGGTTACTGAAGATCAATATTCTAACCCGGGCCTTCACGGATTTAGACAAGTTAAGACTCCTACCAGAATCTTCTCAGCCTTGGCTTCACTGATTCCCTTAATTCCCAGCAGCTGTTTCTTGGGGGCAAAAGCCACAGCCTCCACTGTGAAGAACCCAGCCTCCTCTAGTTTCTTCAGGTCATTGTTGCTGATTCCATTGCCCTGAAGTAGCACATGGGGAAAGATGAGCTTTATCATAATAACATCAGAGCTACAGATAACTTTTTGGGTCACTGAGTTATACACTCGCTTGTGTTCATCAATTGGGTATCCTAATTTTCCTCTGAGTAACCAAATAAATTGTACCCACCTCACTCAAACTCAATTGGGGATTTTGCCATTTTCCATTATTTGTGAAAATAGAATAAAGTTTAAATGTTGGTGTACTTGTGTTACTTATATTTGATCTGTAATAAGATTGCAAGTTGCCAAGTTTATGTGCTGAAATAGAACCTCACAATATATCTCAGTTATTTTATCTATCCTCAGTAACCTCCATCTGTAGCGCATGGGTTTGCTCACTTCAAATTCTAGTAGGTTTGGTTAATGTTACAGTATGCAAGCTAAGATTTGACATTTTAGTGTGTAAATATGTACAGTCCCTTTGAGTCAGAAACAGACTGAAGAAATGCAAATTTTATCATTGTACAAAATTGCCACATAAATATAAATAGTACACATGTTTATCATTTACTAATACCCAACAGCTTTCTTATATCTGAAAATTTTCCGGACTCAACCAAAAAAGTTGTTTAAGAAACTATCATCATTGAAAACGCAAAAGTTGTTATCTGTCGCGTCGGGGTGAAACCGCAGAAACAGAACAGACAGTCATGGCAGGGGGACATCTCAAAATCTATTCCGGGAGACCTGTCCGTTCCTCGACTGTCGTAGTGTCATAGTCACAACTCAAAGGGATGACAAGTGGTGCCACAGTTGCCTGTTGTAAGCCATCCTGAATATATGAAAGCTGTTGGGTATTAGTAAATGATAAACATGTGTACTATTTATATTTATTTGGCAATTTTGTACAATGATAAAATTTGCAATTCATCTGTCCGTTTCTGACTCAAAGGGACTGTAAGATCACATTTATTGAGTATTTACAAAAATTCAAATGTACTTGTAGGCAATAGACTTAATAGGAATTGAGTTTTCACATAAATATTTTCGCAATTTACACAGATACACAGCTTATCTGTACCTAATTTTCACAGGTCATGGTTTGCTGGTGATAGACCACCTGAAAATTTCAGTATATATCTAGTAGTCCAAACAAAGTCCCTATAATGCATTTCGGGGAAAAAATGCCCGTTTGCTCCGATTGGCGAGAGAAATAAAAGTCAACTGAACAAAGCTGTATCATTAGTTATTATTAGGAGATTATTAATATATGACCTGGAAAATCTGTCATTTCAAGTTGGGAAACTTTACTGACATTAACTGCAGATTTGGAGTCGAATATCGGCCTTGAAGACCTAATAAATATTCCTTAGTGAGAAGTTTCTAGTCAACCATGTTGGTCTGCATTAGTAGTACTTCCATGAGTAAGTTTGGCTTACCACGGATTTCTTTCAGTGTTGTCACAACCCCTAGTGCACTTAAAAGAACCCACGAATCCCTTAGTATATGACCAGATGGTGGCCACATGTATATGTGCAAACACCTAGTTGCGGGTGAACTTGGACAAAGTACTGTGACAACATGTCCCAGTCCACCCAGCTGTGAATGGGTCCTCGTAAGGATGGGAAAGCCGAGATAATTCGGTGCGCTTTGCGGCTACAAGAGTTGTATGATCCCCTGGGAGTTGATCTTGATAATAAGATGTGCCGTTGAGATTGACATCCAATAATCAAGGTAAAAAAAACCCAGCACCTTGAGCATGCACTAGTGCGTAGATGTATATATATAAATATCCATATAATAATAATTTGACAAGTATTCTAGTTATTTCAGTGTGTGTCTGCTTGATGTGAGAGGAAATCCCAGAGTGACATCTCCTACTTGAAACCTTGACAAAGCTAACAGAATAATCACAACAACCCAGGATTCAAATTTCAAACCCACAATGATCTCTTTCTGTCCTGCCCAAGGGATGTAACTCTGCAGTGACTTAAAGACTATAGTCTGTTTGCAGTGAAAATGTACCGATGAATTTCACTTTAAGAAAAAAGGAAATCAAATAAAGTGAAATTAAGACTGTGAATCCTCATAATTTTACCTTGCCAACTGAACATTTAAATCCTTCTTTAAATGTTTCACAAACGATCATAGTTTTAAATCGCTATTATTGGTTTGTATTACAAGGGGGAATGCACATTAAATGAAACACCGAGAACAAGTGGGGTTGGTCTGAGTTAACGCTCATCACGTACTGCACGTGCATTTGTTTCACTGTTCCAACTACTGCGCTTACCCCTTTGTAATACAAACCGATAATAGCGATTTGAAACTATGATCGGTTGTTAAACAACTTTTATCCTAAGATGAATAAAACTCTGAGATTTAAATGTTCAATTGGCAAGGTAAAATTATGAGGATTCGCAATCTTAATTTCAATGTATTTGATTTACTTTTTTGTTTAAAGTGAAATTCATCGGTACGTTTTCACTGCAAACAGACTATAGGGCTGGCTAAAGAGATCAATAATCATTAATGATTAACTATGAAAACTATGGCATTGATGATATCTCTCATACGCTATTGTGATGAAGTAAACTATAAATTTTCACAAACAATATACAAACTCAGATCTTTATTCATAGGCAGCTTTGAAATTATGTTTAGATTGCTGTTTAGTTAAAGTACTGTCGGAAATAGAAAAAAAATGTTTTTGGGCTGTTACTCTGTATCCCTAATATTTACACAATTGCAAATAGCATATGTCAAATAACCCACATCGGCCTAACTGGGCGTTCAGTGGGATGCGTAATAGGATATCCAGAAAAGCATGTTTACTCGTAAAATCGGGCAAAACTTAGAAAAAATACCAATAGCTGTTTAAAACAATAGATCAGACTATAGATGACAATTAGGTCGCTCAGCCAAGTATGATGACGGATCGTCGACACACCTAGCATGAAATGCATGTGCTGCCTACAGGCACAAGGGGTCATCTCAAAGATATTATATGCGTTTTCTGGTGTGTTGAATATGTCTCACATGTTGATTAACATCTAACGTGTCTTTCTTTCATAAAGTTGATGTTGAGATATGTAATAGTATGATACCCATAGATAGGCTTAATTCAGCCATCGTATTAAATGTCTCAAAATATATAGGTAGCATGGCCACCCAAAGATCGAAAGGACTGGATATTATTTGTAAATTGTTACTTGCCCAGTTTAATTCCCCTAAAGGATTATGTTATCTTAGCTGATATCTCTATCCCCCAGCCCGACCCCAACCACCTTCTGTGACACCCGACATGGTTTTGCTTTTGAGATGACCCCCATGTCTGTTTGTTTTGAGGTGAGGTGAACGTGGGTTTTACGTCGTGCTTGAGAATATGACGACGTGCATGCATGTGTATGTGTATGTGCGGCTGCTTGTACTAGCCCAGACTTAAGCTGGTTTTATAGTGCTAGCACACTGAGATACCATGCCACAGTGAAGCATGAATACCCCACTCAGACACATTATACTGACTCCGAGCCGACCAGTCCTTGTTGTACCCATTAATGCCGAACGCCAGGCAGGGACCAACAAGTACCTTATTTTAACGTCTTTTTGGTATGACGCGGTCGGAGATTGAACCCTCCTTCTGCTCTCCAGGCGGATGCTCTAACCACTACACCACGGAGGAGGTCCTGTTTGTTTTGATAGTGGTAGTGAGACTCCATGGCAGCTACATCCTTAAGAGTTTCACAATTAAAAATATTATTTTGTACGTCAGCTATTGTTTATAATGAAGCTAAGTCTAATCTCAAAATGAGAATTTAAAAAGTGTCATTTGTAATACAATATCATTGCACACTAATTTGCATAAAGCCAAGGTCTGTTCCAAATAAGTCGACTTGGACTTAAAAACCCCACATTGCACATTTCTGCACTAATCTCTCCTTATCAGTAAAGTCCTTTTTCTACGTTTCCTGTCTCCACTGAGACTGTAGTTAGGCCGAACTTGGTTTAACAGATATTTCACACTTTCACATATTACCTACATAAATCGGGATATAAATGTGAAAAAACAGGGTTTTTTCTATTTCCGACAGTACTTTAGTTATCAATTCATATATGTATCAACACCTGCTTGTGATTTGACATGTGTTTCAGGCTGTGCAATTTTGCTGAAAGTTACTTATCAATTGATAAGTGAATGACATTGAGTTCACAGTCATTGATCTCTATTGTCTATATCAACAGTCCAATCCTACGCGACTACACCCATACTCCAATTCAAGTTTCAAAGAAAATGTTGATTCTTTCAGCATTTCTTTTCACATCTTGTCATTCTTTACAGATGATATCATAAAAGATGTGATTTCAATAATTGAAAAACTTCTTGAGTTTGGTTTTAATGAATCCCCCCACCTATACCTACACATGTCTATTTTTTTGACAAAATTTGTATCATGTTTTTTTAAAATGAACAGGCATGATTGAAACTATCGTAATGATACAGATAAACTGCCATGGACATCTTCCCTAGAACTGTCCTACCTCTAATTTGGCAATTGGCATGGGTCCAAATGTTTCTTCCTCTGCTTCTACCTCCACCTCTGCTCCCCGAGATGCTTGCATCGCCATGCTGCTGGTCCTCTGTTGGGTCTCTGGCCTGTAGAGGAGTTGACTTGTAACACCTCAAATAAACAAGACAGCATGACACTGATCATGCCAATGGGAATATATTGCCATTTTCTCAAGGATATAAAACTAAGTGATGTGAAGGTTGGGCAGGGTTAATGCTTTCCTATATTTGCATATGTTTTGCAAATATGACCTGCTGATGAGTTGCCCTGGTAAAGTTGTCAGTTACCATGGTAAAAATGCAGTTACCATGGTTACTGGTGCCTGGACCATAGGATAATCTGCTCATGTAAATTTTTAATACTTATATGCATTTACAATCACATAATGTAAAACTGAATATTCATTAAAAGACTTTCAAACTTGGGAAAGAGTTCCTTCCATTCCCCCATATTTCTTTTGGTAACATTATCGTGCGTGGGGCCCTATATATGGTAATTAATTTTGGGCTTTTAGTTATTTTTGTGAGTTCTCTAGTAATTGTTAGGTTTTGTTAATATTTTTAGAATATATTAATTTATAAATATTATTTGGGATGTGGGAATGGGAATTGGAGGAACTCTTACCGTTCAAGTCACACTAGGAAGTGACTGTTCTTTTACTCATCTGTGAATGTGATGAATGTGAACAGTATTTCATTTGTACCATTAAAGCAAGTAAATAATCTAAACTGTGTCAGGAAAATAAACCAATTTGTAATCCATAGAGAGTATGATCGACCAATTCTTCGTCTTGTGAAGATTCACGATTCTTTTGTTTCTCATAATCAACAACACGTTTTGCAAAATAAGCTCCTGTTCATAGGATGTTTGTTTTTAATGTCTGTCTCCTTACATACATTCAGTAATATTATTTTCGACTAAAATAATGAATTGCCTGTAGACTTTAAGTCGCTGAATTTGTATAAGAAACATCCCTGGTAACAAGATGACAATATAAACAAAATGCATGGAAAGAAGAGTATAATGTTTGTAATAAACACAACAGAGTTTAGGGTGCGACTTCAACAGGTTCCTCATGAAATGTCGCGCTGGAAGCAAATTAAAAAACCTGTCACCGATGTATTCACTTACCTGTGAAGTGTATTTAGAAATACAGTGTCTTCGTGATGTTTGAAGAAACAATTAGAGTTTTCTTCCGCTGATTAATAACCAGATAATAATGTTTTATTCACGTATCGCTTTCCGCTGACAGCAATGTTATGAAAGTTGGATGTCCCGCCAAATCGCACGTCATTGTAAGGGAGATAACTTCAACGTTGTATTTCAACCACACTCGCTAGGAAATAACCGTGAAATCACAAATATGGCTTTTTACGTTTTATTCATGACAAACCCGTCTTGACTATGCGACGATTTTTTCTTTAACAATCGTACTTTCAAATGATATAAACACTTGACAAAGACTTGTTTTGGATTATATAGATATAAATATAAATTATTGTTTCGCTTGTGCAAACCAGTGGGTAAAATTATGAACATTTTCCGGCACATTTCATCACTCAGCATGATTTATGTAATAGACTAGGAGAAAAAGACTAACATCTAGTCTCCGAAATGAACATATTTTACAGAAGAAAAGTTTTAAAATTAAAATAAAACACAATAAAATGAGCCCAGAGACTTCCTTCATCCAGTAATCTAGACTTGCCACACATTCTAGACTTGTCACACATTCTAGCAGCATGGGCTGCACTGGGGATATTTGTTCCAGGGTTCTGTATGACAGACTATAAGAGCACCTGCTGTACTGACTGATAAGTTGAATATAAAGTATCTGCCGCAGTTTTACGCCGCTGTTAGCAATATTCCAGCAACATCACGGCGAGGGACACCAGAAATGGGCTTCACACATTGTACCCATGTGGGGATTCGAACCCGAGTCTTCGGCGTGAGAAGCCAACGCTTTAACCACTAGGCTACCCCACCGCCCCGCACCTGCTGTAACCTTAGTAGTTTAGGTGTAGAGAACAAGAACAAGCACAAAATCTGTTTTTCTAAAAAGCAAATGTTTTGTTATTTTAAATCTAAGGCCACACTCAGCAATACCTAATTTTCTTGTTAAAAGCGGATACACACCCTTTGGGTACAATGGTCATGTAAAAATGACAGATCGGAAAGAGGTGGGGTTGGCCAGCACCACACAGTTGTGGCAAGTATACATGTATGTTGTCGGGGTCGGTTAGGGGTGCTTGGGGCTGGATGAAGCTGCCCTGGGCATGCAGCTGGCAGAACCTCGGAGGTGCACACTGACTCTCCGCTTTGACGCGCCGAGGAAGCGGCCCAGCTTGGCTGAAATGGGAGAGAGAGTGAATGACATTTTCAGTCTAGAGGGGGGTTGTACATGGTCAAAGGGATCAGGTGGGGCCTCTGTACCAACCAAAAACAGCCAAGAGGGTGCAGGGAGGGGCCAAGACATCATTGTGCATTTAAGGCTTTTCTGTACACTTAAGGACAGCCGGTGGTTGTTACTGCGGTCTTTATCAAGGTTATACAATCTTATCAAGCCATCAGGGATTACTGTTCTTTAAATATATTTTATGCTTATGTGGTAGCCAAATATGAGTTTCAGTCTTATAGTTCGTTGGACGTTAACCCCCCTAGATGCGGACTTATAAATATTTTTATTCGTTATTTTTTTACGCACATTTTTATAGTGAGTGAGTTTAGTTTTACGCCACTTTTAGCAATATTCCAGCAATATCATGACCGGAAGGTTCAAAAGATAACCTTGTGGGTGAATTGCGTTCTCATGACACTGTTTCTACCTACGCCAATTTAACTACACAGAAATGTCGAATATTAGCAAATACTAAGGAGGTTTGTTTAATTGACACTGCTATGTGCTGACCGAAAATTTGTTATGCGTTCAGTCAGCCAGCGGTCGCAACTGAGAAGTCAAGATTGCTTTTGTGAATTTTCGAATAATATACGTTATCGTTGTTTGTAGGTAAGGATGTTTTTTGGAATGATGATCAGGTTATAGAGTGTTCATAATGCAATATTGGTCTTTCAAACTATTTGTTACTGAACTCCTCCATGAATGATCACAGAATGATTGAATTTAACGTTAACACAACAGTTGAGATGAGTAGCTGAGTTTCTGCAACATAAACATGGTTTCTGGGTTATGTGGCCAGACCTTCAGCAACCCATACTTGTAAGAGCCGACTGACGGGATCGGGTGGTCAGACTCGGACTTGGCTGATGCATGTTATCGTATCCCAATTGTGTAGATCGATGTTCATGATTTCAAACACTGGATTGACTCGTGAAGGTCCGGGTTAGAGTCGGTTTTTTAGTAACCCATGCTTGTCGTAAGAGGTGACTAGCGGGATCGGGTGTTCAGGCTCGCTGGTCACTAAGTTGACACATGTCATCGTATCCCAATTGCTTAGGTCGATGCTCATGCTGTTGATCACTGGATTGTCTGGTCCAGACTCGATTATTTACAGACCGCCGCCATATAGCTGGACTATTGCTGAGTGCGGCGTTAAGCAACAACCAACAAACCTCAAATGCTTCTACATTTCTCATACACGCTAACGCCTGCTTATAACTGTGTCTGCCATACAGATCCTGAAACAAATGTGTCAAAGAAAGCCTTTGCAAATCTAGAATATGTGACACGTCTTGAAGAAAGTGTCTGGGCTCCTATCATTATATTTTTGAGTACTTCTTATTACTTATTGTTTTACTTTCTTCTGTAAAATATGTGTATTTCAGAGACTAGATGTTAGTCTACATATAACTATGCAAGACTGACTGACTGACTGACTGAGTTTGGTTTTACGCCGCTTTTAGCAATATTCCAGCAATATCACGGCGGGGTACACCAGAAATGGGCTTCATTCATTGTACCCATGTGGGGATTCGAACCCGGACCTTCGGCATCACGAGCCAACGCTTTAACCACTAGACTACCCCACCGCCCCACTATGCTGGACCACCACAACACTGCAATAATATGGACTCGTCAGATCATATTTCTGAACTGTTTACATTTATCACATAGATCTGAGGATCTGATATTTTAGTCTTGTTAAATATTCTTTCATCAATATATTTACATATCTGTACTACAGTATGATATACAGTACCACCATCCAGATGAGATGAATTGTTGTAGGGAAGATGGGGTAGCCGAGTGGTTAAAGCGTTCGCTCGTCACGCCGAAGACCCGGGTTCGATTCCCCACATGGACACACTGTGTGAATCCCATTTCTGGTATCCCCCGCCGTGAAATTGCTGTAATATTGCTAAAAAAGTACTCAGTGCATACTGTTGTAAATAGATTGTAAATAAAACCAATGTCACGATGCATCAGTATATAATGTGTTCAGTGCAATGCGAAGTACCAGTACCAGTAGAATCAAATTAATAATTGTGTGTGTGTGTGCGTGCGTGTGTGTGTGTGTGTGTGTGTGTGTGTGTGCGTGTGTGTGCGTGGGTGCGCGTGTTTGTATTGTTTCAATGTGTATCACATGCATATACATGAGTTTTGGGTTTGTAATATTATTACAATGCATATATATTTTTCCGACTTTTTATATTGTTCACAGATTGATCTCAACAAAGAAAATCTGAATATTTGCATATAACGATCTTGCCACTGGCCAATACGACATCGTCCTCTGTTGGTTACCCAGCAATGTTGGAATCTCTGGTAACACAATGACCGATTTTGCTGCTAAGGCAGCACTCAACAAATCTATGAGACTACTTCTGATCCCATACTCTGATTACATATCCGTGATTAGATCTTACATCCGTGATCTAATGCAGAAAAAATGGGACGCCCAAGTAGGTATCAATAAATAAATCCAACAAGTGGATACACCTTCTTGGGTTGTCAGTCCAGATTTGAAGAGGTCATCATGCGACGATGTCGCGTCGGCTATACAAGGTATACACATGAGTGAATAATGAAAAGGAGCCCAGAGACTTTCTTCGTTTACAAGACTTGTCACATACTCTAGATTTGCATAGGCTTTCTTGGACAGAGAGAGGGAGAGAGAGAGAAGAGAGAGAATGAGAGATTCCCGCTGTCTTTTAATCGGAGATATGTGAGTGAGTGAGTTTAGTTTTACGCCGAACTCAGCAATATTCCAGCTATATGGCGGTGGTCTGTAAATAATCGAGTCTGGACCAGATAATCTTGTGATCAACAGCATGAGCATCGATCTGCGCATTTGGGAACCGATGACGTGTCAACCAAGCCAGCGAGCCTGACCAACCGATCCCGTTAGTCGGCTCTTACGACAAGCATGAGTTACTGAAGATCAATATTTTAAACCGGGCCTTCACCGGTTTATACACATGAGAATTTAATAAAAGGGGAGAAGCCTCCATTTCGCATCCCTCGTAATGAAAGAATCACGGTCAAGCATGTATTGTTTTGACTGCATTGATTTTTCCATCACAAGTGATAGATATTTCAATGTCAAAACAGTGAGGGATCGTTTTAACGTTAGTTACCATTTTATTATTGCATTTTCTAAAGAAAGAGAATTGTTGCATACATTTTTATATATGTTTTGTAAATAGATAAGTGTTTTATAATTACAATACAATACAAGGAATTTATTCAGTACTTTGGCCACTTGGCGTATTGTACAACAACACGACAGAATACAATTTGGTCACGTGTGGGCCTGGTATTTAATACATTTTTTAGATGTAATGCAACAGAATTAGTAACGTTCATATTTGTACTATTTAACAAATTTATCATACTTTCAGTAGCAATGACAGAATTGTGTGGCAAGAAGCTACTCCTTACAGATGAATACTTACTACAAACAAATAATACATGAAGCCCATCTTAATACCACATTGACAATGAGGACAAATTGAATCTAAGTGATTTACACCATTCTCACGCCTTTTCCTGTTTATCGCAAAATCTCGGAGGGATATTCTCATTTTACAGATAGCTCTTCTCAGTTCTCTAAGCTTTAGCGATGTTATATATATTTCCGGTTGTAGAAGGGATAACTTCACTTGTTTATAGTGCTCAAGAAAAGATGAATTATTGATTGAGTAATGCCAGTCTTGTAAGTATATATCAATTTGGCGCTGCTTGAAAATGTAAAGAAACTGTTTCGGATCACCAACATCTTGAGCCAGCCATACATAGGTATATCAAACAATAAGTTTCGATTCTTGTCTCAGAAGACGAAGCCAATATTTTACTACTTTACATTGACCACAAATATGCATGGTGTAACGCCCAGTTTCTCCAAGAATCGCTTTGTTTGCCGCAAACTTCCCAACTCCTAAAAATCTCTTGAAGTACGACGCATGGAATTTTTCGATAGATTCCTCGTAAGCAGAATCCATATCTCAGATGAGTACAGCAGTATTGGAGATATCTTGGTGTCAAACAATCTGCACGCTGTGGAGAATGGTAAGTCTTTACACTGTCTAAATAGCTGATATAAAGGTAAGACAGTTTTCCAGCCTGTGACACCAGTGTTTGGCAACCTTATGACCATTTTAATACGCAGGAGAATAGCAAACCAAGATATTGGTAATAGGTTACAATCTTTATCGATTTCCCACACACTGTCCATGATTCATTCTTTGCAACAATTCCACCTTTCCTAAATACGAAAATGTTAGTTTTGTCTATGTTAATCTCCAGTCCCCAGTTATAACAATACTCTGTTATACAGTTAAGCTGTCTCTGTAGTCTAACAACAGTATACGAGAATGTAACAATGTCGTCAGCAAACAATAGTAGCATAATACATATCACGCGCAAGTCAGTTGATGAAGAATATGAACAATAAGGGACTTAATATACATCCTTGCCTAACACCAGATGACGTTGGGAAAGTAAGGGTTTTCTGGCCATCCACTTTAACGCAAGATATGTAACATGACTGTACATGTTCTTGATGATGTTATATAGTTTACCATGACAGCCACGCTGTAGAAGAAGAAAGAGTAATTTCTTCCTTGGGATAAAGTCAAACGCTTTCTTGAAGTCAATAAAAGCCGCGTAAAATCTTCCCCTTGGCCTACTCAGAACGAAAATGTTGTCTATTGTTGAGTATCTTTGTCAGATTCCTGCGTGGGATTATTTAATTCATTCCACGTTCGTAATCTCTATTCCAGAATTGTTGCAAACTCTTTACCAAGTACATTCAGGAGGGAAATCCCACGATATTATTCGGCTCCGTCTTGCTTCCACATTTATGTAGAGGTAGAATCATCCCGACCTCACATGGTTCCGGGAAGTTTCCGGTGTCCAGTACTTTGTTGAATTATGGTAGGAGATAAGATACAAGCAGCTGCAAGTCAACTTTCAGGAATTCCGGTGGAATACCGTCCTCACCAGGGGCTTTTCCATTCTTCAGACATTTAATAGAACTTCAGTGCCTGTGATTTCATCAGACAGAAAGTCTGTGTTAATAGGTATTTCATCGCAGAATTCAAGTGTATCATTGTTTACAAAGTATAATTGGTAGGTAACATTATCAACTGAGGTTGTTAGTGGCTGTATCCTCAAAGGGGTTTAAAGTACTGTAAAATTATTGTCTTCCCGAGAGGACACGTAAGTCCCAAAACCATCAAAGGAAATTTAAACTTACCCGATATTTTAGACGTAGTATTTTTGTGATCTTAAATTATGGATAAATTTTCCTACAATCGCCAGCGGCTGAAGGGATGGTGTAAATCCAAATAGGGTCCATGCAGGTAGCAAAGGCACTGTAAGTCCCTATGGTCCCTAGTATGGTGGTCTACCTTCAGTTCTTAGCAGTCTGTAGCCTATTTTTGATGTTGTAAAGTTATCTGTAGTTAAAGTGTTTTTAGATTTGATTACTAGTTTTAAATTTATATATGTGATAATCAAATTGTTACACTGTCTTACCTTGACAGGTTTTCAAAATTTACCTTTAATTATTATAAATCTATAACTTGTTTTAGTCACCAGATGGCTGAAATATTGTTGACTATAAATATTAACTCACTCACTGAATATTTGCAAGCTGTTGTGCAAAGTGTATGTCGTTTATTTTATCACTTGTCAAGGCAAGCAACAATCAATTACCAAACGCGTTCACACCAACCGTAAATTAATTAATGAAAGACAAAGTCAATGAGTTGTGACGACATCGGCCTTTCTTCTCTTGTGTACATCAGGTGGGCAGAAGCAATTGGAGTAAGTAATACCTCCGCAGCAGGCACACGTTTAATAATCGACCAAGCCGTAATTAAAAATGAACTTTTGTTAAACAATATTGATATTACCATGTTACCAGCCCTTTTTTCTGTCGTAAATACCATGGCCAAGCGCTGACAGATATTGCTTTACCAACTGGCGTATATTGCTTTGACTGATTGATTGACTGAATGATTATTGTTTAAGTCCGCACCCAGCAATATTTAAGTTAAACTTACGCATGTTTGACTGAATGGGTGAGTTCAGTTTTACGTCGGTTATAGCAATATTCCAGCAATATCACGGCGGAGGGCACCATAATGGGATTCCCACATTGTACCCATGTGGGGAATCGAACCCGGGTCTTCGGTGTGACAAGCAACGCTTTAACCACTGGGCTACCCCCACCGCCCGCGCATTTTTGACCGTGGCTACATCATAATTAAAATCAAGACTTCACAGGCAATGATCGTAGTGATTATTGTGTCTTTTATATTGATGTAAGTATTAATATGGATATTGTCAAACGGTAAATAAAGGATACAGTAAAGTGTAACAAAGTAAGGAACGTAGAATTATAGAACTAAGTGCATGTGAACTCAGAAGAATAGACATAATATATTCATGTGTATATTTTATAGTTGCTGGAGTAACGGGATGACCTCCCAATGACCCGGTAAGGTACCGCATTTCCCCTAATAAGCGCCGAATGTCTAATTAGCGCCGAGCCTCTAATAAGTGCCAGGAGTAAAGCAGCGGTTTAAGAAATAAGCGCCTGGGCCTAGATTTTCGAAGCTCTCTTAGCGCTAAGATAGTCGTAAGTTAATGTTAATGAATGGCACTTACGACTATCTTAGCGCTAAGAGAGCTTCGAAAATCTAGGCCCTGGCCTCTAATAAGCGCCGGGTCCCTAATTAGCGCAGGGTACGTTTTTTTTTTTATAAATGTATTCTCCCTGATCCCAAAATAGATTTATTAAGAAATGGTCCCTAACTTTGACATGACGCTCACTAACAATTAATTACGGTACACCAAGTAAGCGCAATACGCGTCGGGTCTCCAATAAGCGCCGGGCCTCTAATAAGCGCCAGGGTGCCGTTCCACTAACCGATCTTATCTAAAATCAATCTTAGCAAGTTACCCCAATTTTACAATCGTCTTAGCTAAAAGTTACACCCGTTCCACTAACCGATCTTAGGCCGATAGTAGCCGGTCCCGATCTTACGATCCGACCCAAGCAGATCGAGACTCTTTCGTGCGAGAGATAGAGGAATGCGAGGCACTAGTTATCTCCCTTTGCATAGTCTAGCAAATGATAGAAAGTAGTTTACGAACCAACTGAGTGAGTGAGTGAGTTTAGATTTACGCCGCACTCAGGAATAGTCCAGCTATATGGCGGCGGTCTGTAAATAATCTAGCTAAGATGCATAGCCTTCACTAACATGAACGCTATGTATCTTATCTATAAATAATCGAGTCTGGACCAGACAATACAGTGATCAACAGCATGAGCATCGATCTGCGCATTTGGGAACCGATGACATGTGTCAACCAAGTCAGCGAGCCTGACCACCCGATCCCGTTAGTGGCCTCCTACGACAGGCATGGGTTATTGAAGTTCAATATTCTAACCCGGTCCTTCATGGGTATTTCTCCAACCAAGTGTAAACGTGGAGAAAAAACCTAGAGCAAACTATTAGGGTAGTTAGCACCTTGGTTTCAGGTGCAAGTGCGTGTGATCGCTGGGTATCAGGCATAATATAATAATAATAAATGCATATTTATAGTGCGCCTATTTCACATCCTGGGGCATGCTCAAAGCGCTATGTACAGATAATTTACACGAGAGTATTTACAGCCGAGATTATAAGTAATATACTGAGAACAGGTTTTAAGTCTGAACTTTAAAAATGTCAATTGTGTCAGAGCTTTTAATATGTGCCTGAACCTTGTCAATCAGAATAAACAAGCCGTGAGGAGGCTATATATATAACGTATGTAGAATCTGTCAGTGATCTTGAATAACACGCGGCCTGCCTTTAGAATCCCCCACCAAATATGCGCAGTGAAATCAAACATATTTGTATCTTTTTGCTTCAGAACATTGTTCACTTCACGTTTGTCCCTATTCTTAACCATGACGTTGCAATATTGTTGTACAAATGTGTTACACCGACTCGCTCGGTTGTGTTCCCATGACGACAGTGGTCAGACTGGCCTGACATTTGTAAGGCTTCAGTGCAGTGTTTGTTTACATCACAGAAATATACAAATTCATTTCATGGGGGATTTTAGGGGACGCTCACGGTGAAATGCTCGCTCTTATTTTTCACATAGAATAGGAAAGCCACCATTTTGGTTTCTCTACGATTGATTTTAGCTATCCTAAGTTGGTCATGAGCAACTTAGACTTTGAATCTTAACTTTACGATTGACTTAGGTAAGATTGGTTAGTGGAACGGTAAGCCAATCGTAACGTCACACTAAGATTGGGATTTTAGGGGTTTACGATTGCATAGGGCTAAGATCGGTTAGTGGAACGGCACCCAGGTCTGGAAGTCCGTTGAACAAATGAACGCCCGTGCGCTTACTAGAGGAAATACGGTCTATAGAGTTGGCACTGGACGAAGGGCGTCAGTTTCGCTCTAGGAAATAACGTGGAGAAAATACATCCCTGTATTGCGGTCTTCCAACCGTGCGATACAGTAGTGAGAATATTTTCTTACAACCTACTTCGTGCAGTGAACTGTAGCAGGATAGGGCAGATAACATATTTGGAAATAACATCTGGGAAATTGTTAATGTTAAACAACTAGAACTTTGAGCTATAAAATCGTTGTGATTGCGATCTCAGGTGCCTGAATAAACCCAAGGAACTCACAGCTTCTTTCCCTCTTGTTTCAAGGTAAGAAACATTTTACTTTTGTTCCTATTAACTTATTATTTCATTGTAATTACTGTTCAGAAAGGTTTGGAACGGTACTAGTATGCTGTAACACGTTACATGCTAGCTTTAAACAAACGTTTTTATACTAACTCCCTGTCCAGTGATGTTTGGACTGTATTACGTAGTGGGCTCGTCAAGTTTATATATCTTTAATGCATAAACCAATATTTCTTTTTTATGTCTCAACATTCATGTGTGTATATATCCCCAGTCGAGGACTAGTGTTAACCCTTCAACGCACCAGATTAGCATATACTGCACTGGCGGATCGGGGGTAGGGAGTTTTCCCCCCCCCTCCCCTTGAAAATCCCTGGACGGTCTAGATTAATGTACAGCAGATAACATAAGCAGATATTGGATTAGTCTGCCTCACAGTCCCTGAACCACATTATTTCCCTTACAGCCTAGCCCTCCCTCCAATGCTAAAGCCCTAAATGAAGCAAGTCTAGATTTCCCGAGGTTCAGGTGGTCTCCCTGGGGCTCCTTTTCAGTTTAAATGGGTTTATTTGTTACAATCAAAATTATATATATTCAGAGAATAAGCGTTACTCTAATCTTGGAGTTCAATCTACTGTTTGAAGCAATGTTCAATGCAACCGAAGTTCAGTCATTCCATATTTTCTGATAGTCAAATATCAAATGGGCAGATTTACTTTCTATACGCGCTCAAGTATAAGGCTATCATTATATGTGATGTTAGGTGTTTTTGCTTAAATAAACCCAAGGAACTCACAGCAATATTATCTTTTATTTCAAGGCTATCTCCCAACAGCTGACTCACCATATCGAGGCCTCACAGTGCATTCTTAATGATATATACTGGCGTCAGTTCTGACAACTGAAGACCGCCTCCGTGGTGTAGTGGTTAGAGCGTCCGCCCGGAGAGCGGATGGTCGCGGGTTCGATCCCCGACCGCGTCATACCAAAAGACGTTAAAATATGGTACTTGTTGGTCCCTGCCTGGCGCTCGGCATTAATGGGTACAACAAGGACTGGTCGGCTCGGAGTCAGTATAATGTGTCTGAGTGGGGTATTCATGCTTCACTGCGGCATGGTATCTCAGTGAGCTAGCACAATAAAACCAGCTTAAGTCTGGGCTAGTACAAGCAGCCGCACATACACATACACACGCATGCACGTCGTCATATGAGCGAAATATTCTCAAGCACGACGTTAAACCCAATTTCACCTCACCTCATCTCACCTCACCTCACCTCACCTCACCTCACCTCTGACAACTGAAACGTATGATTGTACGGTGAAGCTCATGGTATACAGTAAATGCTAAATGTACAAAAGTAAAGTCATGTTTGTTTAAATTCAGGTGCTTGTAACTGTATAATCCAACCATGCTATATCACCTTTTACGGTGTATTGCCAATACCCTATATTTCTTGTGCTGGGAACTAGATATCTCCGGATCCGTGAAGATCCAGGTTAGAATTGATCTTCAGTAACCCATGCTTGTCGTAAGAGGCAACTAACGGGATCGGGCGGTCAGGCTTGCTGGCTTGGTTGACACATGTCATCAGTTCCCAGTTGCGCAGATCGATGCTCATGCTGTTGTTTACTGGATTGTCTGGTCCAGACTCGATTACTTACAGACCGCCGCCATATAGCTGGAATATTGCTGAGTGCGGCGTAAAACTAAACTCACTCACACACTCACATATCTCCGATTAAAAGACAGCGGGAATCTCTCTCTCTCTCTCTCTCTCTCTCTGAAATGAACATATTTTACTGAAAAACATTCATAGTAAAAAAAATAAAATATAATGAAAAGGAGCCCTGAGACTTTCTTCATTTTCAGAAGTGACTAAGTGACCCCCAATGTTTCATTGGACTCTTCTTCAAAGAAACTATATATGCTCCCGTATGACGTAGCCATTACGATTAAAATGTTTCTGGTTTTGTGTGTGTGTGTGTGTGTGGTGTGTGCGTGCGTGCGTGTGTACAATAAACTACGTTTATAACGAAACGCTTGGAACGAACTGACCTAACTAACTGGCCTCCCTTCCTCGTCGCCTATACAGAATAAAGAAGTTGTGTATCCATAAAAATAGTCCTCATCCTTCTAGAGTTCATGTAATTTATAACGTCTTAAGACGGCTGCTTGGAAAAGCCCAATGTTCATTTGGTTGACCTTCATGACCAACTACTGACTAGTGTAACATGAAACGCTGACACGAACTGGATGCTGAATGTGAACTTGGATACCTGTGGGTCTGGGTGGGTGGTTGTGAGTGTGGGTGGGTGTAAGGATAGGTGGGTGAGTGTGTGGGTGGGTTTGACACATGCATGAATGTACGTACGTATGTGTGCAAGCATTGGTATGATGTTGCATGCGTGATGTATGAGCCAAGTCTAAACATTGATTACACAACAGTGTCGTTTCCTGCTGACTTGGTTCCGCCCTATTGCGCAACTTATCACAATAACCAGTCCAGAATTTTTAGACCAACTCATTCAACTGGATACATAAATATTAATCAGTATTATTTGATACATCTAACCACTTGTATATTGCAACACCACGCTCCTTCTAATCCTTGCAAACACGTCGTGCAGCGTGCTCTGTCGTACAGCGTGCTCTGACAAACGGAAATCTGGAAATCGTGGCTCTGCCGCTAGAAAAGTTTGGCGGTCTGGTACGGACTTGATAATATATCAATCACATTGTGCGTTACAAAACTACACTGAATAAGCGCAAAGAACACATATGTAACCAGTGAGCCAGATGAATTGTGAATGATGTTACGACCTAATCAAACAGGGGCAGTCTGTGACGTCTAAGTTAAGGTCATGCTGCCTACACCTCGCCATAAAATATAGAAATACGATGTTATTAAAGTTTAAAATTAAAATTAACTTGTAAATACCATTTTCTTATGAAACAAGGAATTGGAAGTCAGTGTAACCACAGATGTTTGTGGTGTCTCGTTTTACTTTCACACGAGAAAATTCGGATCGGCTGAAAAGTAGGTCATTGTCTGAATAGGTTAATGAGACTCATGTTTCGGTTTGTTCCATTTTAGACCTCTGTGCTGAAGACGTATGGGCATTTCCTAAAGATACCTACACAATAATTATGTTATTTCAAACTTTTTATAGCAGCCTTGGCCAACCTCACAACATTTTGTTGTTTAACATGTGAGCGAGGTTATGTAACTTGTAAACATCTGACATTTGAGACATACCATTTGGGTAATGTTTGCGGCGCTTTTCTTGTTGTTCATGAGGCTGAACCGTAATGAAAAGGATCGCCACAATTGTGCCGCTTAGTTAGTGCAGTCCCAGCAGTTCAGCAGTCTCAAACCCGACTCCAAAATTGTAATAGATACTAGTATCTGCCTGACTGCGCGCTTTCAAAATCTCAGGAATGCATCACAAACAGTGATGGCACGGACGCTCGGGAAAAGTCGAGGTGACCCTGCCCCACCAGTGGGACACGCAAACAAATCCGAGAACAAATACAAGAACAATGCAAGTGTCTATTAATATTATTTTGTAAAATTCTTAATTGAAATACGAAACCTATCTGAATTTAATACATTTATAATAATCGGAGTGTGTTACTCAATTTAAGAACTTCAAACTATTACTTTCCAGTTGAAACAGGTCGATGGAGCAAAACACACCCAAATGAAAGATGATGCTCTCTTTGAAATTCAAACGACATGGGAAATGAATTTTACTTTCTGTTTATTTGCCCTACCTTATTTGTACGAAGAAAAGAAAAACTAGTGAACTACTGGTAGAAACCAGTCTTAGTTCAGCGGGCCCCGCCATCTTCCCTCTGGCAGACATATCCCATCACTACACACAACGTCTGGAGCAGCTAGGAATTGATTCACCTAGTGTGAACAAAACCAGGTTGAAAGAGAAGTTGTTAATGGAGTCCCAGAGCAAAAAGCTCATACAAAGGGAAGAAGTGTTCTTTTAGCACTACAAAACGATGTTGCTCTAGCCCTATCTCAGGCATCTGAATACTCAGATGCTCTTGTTTTGGCCAGAGCTGCAAATATATTGAGAAAACACATTCTGGACCACCAGTCCAAATTCGATGGTACATTTCGCGAAGGATGCATCAAAGATGCCATACCTGCAAGTCTTCTCCAGTTCGTTGGTATGGTGGAACATGGGGCAGACATTAAGTCTCAGCTTGGGTTTGGCTCATCCACGTCAGACCAGGCTATTGCTCAGCTCCTCCAACTGCTTCTCAAATCAGAAAGAACAAGCAACTACCCATCGACATTCTGAGGATAGGGAAACTCCCTTTCCTTTTGTATATGGGTATGGTAATCTATGCCAAAACAAGGAAGAGAAGCCTCCTAGATATACTTCATGATCATGGCATGAGCATTTCCATCAATGCATGAGCATTTCGTATGACAGGGTGCTGGAGATATCAGCCCAACTTGGAGATGCCACAGTTAGCAAGTATGTGGAGGAGGGTGCGGTCTGTCCACCTGTTCTCAGAAAGGGTTTGTTCACCACTGCGGACATGGACAACATTGACCACAACTCTTCTGCAACCACTGCTACTACTTCTTTCCATGGTACCAGTATCTCTGTCTTTCAGCATCCTGCTACGGACAACCATGGGCAAGAGCGTCAACCACTAAAATTCGGACCAGAGAGGGCAAAATCTGTTCCTGAACTACCTGATTCCTTTACAAATATCCCTCCTGCTTCATTGAAGTCAGAGAACCCAACACCGCCATGTGGTACAGTGCCAATGCCAACCACAGACCTGCTTAGACCACAAATGGCCCTGGAGTATGAGTGGCTGGAGAATGTCTTTATCACTGAAGAGATAGATGAAGCTGTTAACCTCACATGGTCAGCTCATCATGCATTTCAGAAAAGAAGCCCAGAGTTTAAAGTGAGTATCACTTCTTTGCTGCCACTTCCCAGGGACGAGGCTCACTCTGTAGCTACAGTGAAGCACGTTCATCTCCTGTCAGATCAGGGAGTGAAACCTGCAGGAGTTCTTTCAGCACGAAAATCAATCATTCCCTGTATCTCTAAGTGATGGTGGAAAGATTTATAGCTGTCAAAAGTCCCAACTGATTTCAATACTTGAGAAACACATCACGCCTCCAGACCAAGAGCCAGAGGCAGATGACAGCATCATTGATGGTTCAGCTTTGGTCCATGCACTGCCACCGAAAAGGTCTAAGACATTTGTTGACTATGCTTTCTGCCAACTATTAGTGCATATGCAAGTACATACAAGACAACACATGTTGTCTTTGATCAAGGAGTGAGACGCGTTTGATATGTACAGTCCATTAAGTCTGAAAGCAAACAAGTCGGAGTTGTTTCACTTCCTGGCAGACAGGAGTGTCCAGATGTCTGCACCAATCTTGGTTATTGTGACCAAGGGACACCAAGCACTTGGCACATACAAAATGAGTCGGACTGAACTGGGCGAATGTTCTCATGAGGAGGCCGCATCTTTGTTCATGCCAGATATGCTGCAACCCAAGGGAGAAAATCCATCATAATCAAAGCCAGTGACACAGATGTCCTTGTGATTGGCCTGAGTATGTTCTCAACACTGCAAAGCATGGGTCTGCAGCAGCTGTGGCTCCTATTTGGCCAAGGTCAGAGCCTTCGATGGATTGGCATTCACAAACTGCAAAACTCTGTTGGTCAAGAGAAGGCCAAAGGCATGTTGTTATTCCATGCTTTTACAGGTTGTGGTGTGGTGTCAGCTTTAAGGAATAAAGGGGAAAAGACAAACATGGGACATTTTCCCAGAGGCAACACCAGTATTTGCCAGACTGAGCCAGCATCGACCAACCATTGAGGATGATGACATGGAGATACGAGAGAAGTTTGTGGTCTTCATGTATGACAGGTCTAGCACTGTAGATGGTGTGGATGAGGCTAGACTATTTGCCAGAAAGCAGAGACCATATGAAGCCATCCCTCCAACCAGAGCAGCTCTAATTCAACACGCTAAACGTGAAACACAGGCAGGTTGTGTGTGGGCTCAGGCAATTCTGCGCCAGTCAGAAGCAGAGAGTCCAGCTGACTGGGGATGGGAGAAGATTGGCGAGGAATGGAAAACCTTCTGGACAGCCAACTCTCCCATTGAAAAGAGTTGTGAACAGCTCACTAAGTGTGGCTGCAAGTCTGTTTGTCGTGGCAGGTGCAAATACTACCGGTTTGGTCTCACATGCACAGCCTTGTGCAGTTGCAAATGTGAAGCGTAGTTTCTGTGTTATTCTGGGTGCAGTGGTTAGCTCAGGTACAATTTCGACTGTTTCTTGCTAACACTGCCATTTGATTTATATATTGTTTTGGTATTGTAATACAAACAACTTCTTTTGTCAAAAAAATTGAAATAAGTTATTTTTCTTGAAGTAGTTACAACTTACAAAGTAATTATTAGTAATTTTTAGTTAAGCGGCGGCCATCTTGCAAATGGTAGCCATTTTGGATTTTTGCGTGGCTAATGCCCTTTTTTGAAAGAGTGGACTCCAATGAACATTTGTGCCAAATTTCATACTTGCATGTTTAAGTGAACTATTGTTGCACTTATCTGCTCCACTACTAGTCATACAAATATATTAACTACAAGGGGAGATGACTCCTTGATTTACCCCTGACATGTAATTACATACATATGGTAAAGGTACAGGCATATGAACTCAATAAACATGCCCAGGTAGAATAAATGAAGTACACAACGCTACATAAACATTTACAACAAGCACATGTAATACCCACCCAGTGTATGACACTGAGGTGAAGCAATACAGCACCGCCAAGCCAGGGAAGCGTTCCTATAATCTGTGTAATCTGTGTAAACAATATTCAACGTTAAAGTTATGATAACTCAAACATATATATGTCTTCTTTCATTTCAAACCCTGGAACATAATAAAACCAGTTCAAACTAATATCACATTCATACTCACATTCACATATACACTCTACTTTCTCTCATTTATAAAACCAATCAGTCAAACGTCCACGCATGCAACCATTCACTCATAGGAAGCTGAAAACACTTAAATGAATTAGATTACTTCTTTGAATAATTTTATATTAAATATTATACAGTACAACATTATTGGGTTATCATTTTGACTGTTAAATCTAACATGTACATTTACACACAAGTTACAGTTTTTATTTACACATAAACGTTTAAAATGTAGCATTTGAAGGTATACACTCTGATTGACTAATATAAAATATTACAGTGACCTGCGGTATAGTATTAGATAAATTGACTCCAACACACGATAGACGTCTTGCTGGTGCAAACAGTGAAAGTTGCTGGTGCAAACAGTGAAAGTTGTTTGTGAAAGTTGCTGGTGCAAACAGTGAAAGTTGCTGGTGCAAATAGTGAAAGTTGTTCGTGCAAACAGTGAAAGTTGCTGGTGCAAACAGTGAAAGTTGCTGGTGCAAACAGTGAAAGTTGCTGGTGCAAACAGTGAAAGTTGCTGGTGCAAACAGTGAAAGTTGTTGGTGCAAACAGTGAAAGTTGCTGGTGCAAACAGTGAAAGTTGCTGGTGCAAACAGTGAAAGTGAAGTGCTGATTTAAATTAGGAAAAGAGGGCAAAAGTTTGAATGATCCAATCAGATTGCATCAAATCAGGGCACATTATAATGTGGTGACCCTACCTAACCTCCCTTAATTAAACTATAATTTCACCGGCTATATAGCTATTAATAGACATTTGTTAAGGTGGGTAAAGTCAGTTTCAAAGTGACCAGACCTGTTGATAAAGAAGAAATGATATCCCTGCAAATGCAAAGTAACTGTTAATACGGAGATATCAAAATACGAAATGATATCCCTGCAACGCAAAGTAACTGTTAATACGGAGATATCAAAATACGAAATGATATCCCTGCAACGCAGAGTAACTGTTAATACGGAGATATCAAAATACGAAATGATATCCCTGCAACTGCAAAGTAACTGTTAATACGGAGATATCAAAATACGAAATGATATCCCTGCAACGCAGAGTAACTGTTAATACGGAGATATCAAAATACGAAATGATATCCTTGCAACTGCAAAATAACTGTTAACATACAAATATTCATAAAACTATCAAATGACTGAAACTAATATGTACATGACTGTAAAAATACAATATAAAGTATCTGCTGCAGTTTTAAGCCGCTTTTAGCAATATTCCACCAATATCACGGCGAGGGACACCAAAATGGGCTTTACACATTGTGCCCATGTGGGGAATCCAACTCGGGTCTTGAGCGTGAAGAGCGGAAGCTTTAATCATAAGACTATCCTACCGCCCCAGACAATTACAAGGAATCGTCATCAGCATGTAGCTTCTGCTACAAGTGGTTAAATTCATTCAATAGGGAGGTCACAATATGACTGAAGGAGAAACTTCTCATTCATCTCTTGTTATATAATATTATATACATCAGATGTACAAAAAGCCACCATAAATGCCACAGCGAAAGAATATTTCTGACTGATGTGTAAAACTATATTCATTTTTTCACATTTTCTGTGTAATGAAGATAAAGAATATGAAGATGTGGGTTGTTTGATCACGTGGAAAATAGATTTGTCAGAAATCTAGTTACAGAATACAAGGGTAACTGGTATTTTCACAGTAATATTACAATGCCCGACGGATGAAATGATGATGCCTAGTGTTTGTTCATTAAATCTAATTAAAATGTTTCTCATTTTGACAGTTATACCATCCAAACGGCAAGGATCATGTCTGCGGATGATGTTCAACAAACTATTCCAGCCAGAGTGAGGCACTGGGCACAGATCTACCCAGACAAAGAGGTGTTTGTCTTCTACAACGATGAAGGAAGGCGTGCTCTCACTTGTAAAGATGTACACATCCTCTCCACTAAATTTGCTGCACTTCTACAGCGTCGGGGCTTGAAACGTGGAGATGTGGTCTGTAATACACTCACCAACTCTCCTGAACGTCTTATCACCGATTTTGGCATCATGGCGGCTGGTTGTGTTGCTGCCAATGCCCAGGCACTGTTGGCAGATGGTACGGATCTGTTGCATGTGATCAACCTGAGTTCCTGTCGTCTGTTGATTGGGGACAACACATTACCTGGGGGTGCTTGGGATCTTCTCAAACCTCATCTTGGAGAAATTCTGGACTCCAAAGTAAAATCAAGCAATGCTCCTAACCTAGAAATGGTGGAGTTTGTTGGTGTGAAGGGAGGAAGTAATTACCTGGAGATGTTACGTCAGGAAGGTGATCAAGTCCCAGTGGAGGTACTACCAACAGACACAGCTTTGTATTGGGCAACTTCAGGCAGCACTGGCTTTTCAAAACTTGTACCAAAGACGCATGAGGTTATGATCCTGCATTCTAGCAGTTTTACAAAGATGTTTCAGATGCATCAGTTGAATACAAAGGTTTACAGCGATCGACCTTTAGGCTGGGCAGGTGGGTGGCCTTATGTATTCATAGACATGGCCATCCCGGTGGTGATGTCCGACACAAGAGGTTCTATTCGAGATCAGTGTCAGCTGTCTTGGGAAGCAGTAAGAAAGGAAAGGTGTACAACTGCACTGCTTACAATTGCCTTCATGAAGAAACTTGCAGAAAGAACATATATTCAAAACTCAGATGATGTGATTCAAAGATTAATGTGTATTTGTACAGGGCAACCTTTTGCCAAACATTGCTTTGAGTTTGTTGGTAAGATCTGCAACTCGGTTTCATCTGCATACGGACTCACAGAAGTTGGATATGTATCAAGCTATATTTGTCAGAAGGAGGAAGACTTCAAAGACAATCTGGTTGGAATTAGTCGTCAGATGGAGGTGAAAGTGGTAGATGAACAGTTTGAAGAGCTTGGACCGGGCAAGGACGGACAAGTTTTCCTTCGTGGAGATTGTATGTTCAAGGGATATATCAACAATCCTGAAGCTACAAAAGCAGCCTTTACAGATGACGGATGGTTCAAAACAAATGATATTGGACATTTTGATGAGCAAGGGCGTCTCTTTGTCGAGGGAAGACAATCAGATGCCATTATGCATGGAGAGTACATCATATACCCACCCTGGGTGGAGAAAAACTTGAGAACATGTCCTTATGTTTCTGAAGTCATGGTGGTCCCCGTTCCTCACAGGGACTTGTATCATGAGGTCTGTGCCTGTATCATTCCCAAACCAAACATGGATGTCACCACCAAGATGATCAAAGATTACTGCGATCCAATGTTTATTTCTGATTCTCTACATGAAATGTCTGCTAAACCAGCCTACTATGTTCTGGTGGAGAATTTCCCTCTTAGACCAACAGGGAAACCAGACAGGCGGGCATTATCAGAAATAGCTGCAAAACTGACGTCAAGAAGCCCCTAACATTTCTGTCGAAATCCCACCAGTGTATGTAGCATCGTAGCATGTGACAACTCCACAAAAGGAATGGTGTTGGGATTCAAACTGTAATCAATATTATTCTAGACATATTATGAAAATAGGAGTCGATAAAATTAACTGGAACATCTGTATCCACACTCATTTAACATGTTAACATTTCGGAAATCCCACCAGTGACCTGCAAGGGCATTTCTCTAGACAACAAAAAAATGACCTCAAGCAAAACCCTAATTCCTGACCAACTGGCACCATTGGGCTGAAAAGGCAGAGACTACCGTGCAGCAAGGGTATAACATTTACACTTCTGAAAGAGGCATTAATTAGGCAGTAAATTATTCTCCATATATAGTCAAAAACGAAAAACTGGGAATATATTTGGAATACACCTACGCGGATTTGCTACAATGAATGATATATTATCACAGTAGTACCAGAAGTATATATTCCTGTTGGATAGCCAAGTCCCTTACATGAAATATGAATCTACAAAAAACCTACCCTACATAAGTGTATCATGTTTATTTCATCTACGATTGATGGTGAAACGGTATTTAAGTAGACGTTTATATTGATGTCAAAAAGAGAAATGTACAGAATTTTGTTGCTAATTAAAATAGTCAGGATAGTCTTCTATACAACGGTTTTGTCTTATATCCCTCTTAGATTTTGCAATTTACATTGTTAACATTGTATCGTTACAGATGTTTGTTCTGCACATTTTATTATCAGATAATCATTGTTAAATTCATTATTATTGTTGTTACTTTTATTACTTATCATCAGTATGATGATACCATTTATCTGACGTGTCTTGACGGATTCCTAACATATCATAAGCCTGTGCTTAATAATGTCTATCAAATCGTGCTGATACCACGAACCAATGTTGGATTCTCTGCTATCAAGGCATGGGAATGTTTTTAACCTGAACAAATTGAACATTTGACACAGGTCAACCTCGGGAATAGCATCAGACATATCTTTGTAATAACTAACCAGAACATTATTATCTAATTATCTTATTATCTAAAATCTAGTAAATTACCTAGGATACATCTGCTTCTATACTTCAACACATCTGTTTGTGATTCAAGATTTATCTGTTTGATTGTCATAGCAAGTAGTCTGTGGCCATGATGAGATTTCGTGACATTGTTTAGAACAACACATAGGCGCCTTTTCTTTATTGAGGTAACTTTACCCAATCCGAGATAATCGACAAACAATCAACCAGGACTACAGAAAACTTCTTCCCTGTGATTGAGGCTACTTCTCGGTACATTTCTCTTCAGACACATGGATTGGTAAAACATCTGACAGGAGTATAAACATTTGACTTGATGATGCAGTCTGTTGGGCGTCTGGGTAGAATGTGTCAGCAGAGCATCATTGCTGATCGTAAGAGGCGAACGAATTGGGCAACCGGGGCCCCTTTGACGATGGAAAACCTCATCAGGGTGCTGTTGTACAAAACAACCTTAACGCTAAGACTATGTTAAGGTATGGGAGTTACGGTCACCTTAGCGCCAAGATCGCTTTGTACAACGGCACCCTGGTGGTTGGGCGCACTGGTTCAGCAATAGAATTCCTTTGTACCACCACTTCAGCCCTTACTTCACCTTGTCTTTTGGAAGAATTGGACTGGTTCTTTCAACCGGCCGGTCACGCCACTGTTTTCGTCCCTTTATGGCTGAGATATGTGACGTAACGTTTCAACCAACTCACGCGGGATGCTTAAAATGGCAGATAAATACAAAATGGACATCGTCCTCAATAATACCACTAAATAGAAGAGACACGTGATGTGAATGAACGATGTCCTCATCTGCCCAGATGACATGTATGGTTAATTCACTTACTGAAACCTGTACTGTATTCCCATATGCCATATCCTGCAATAGTATCTTAACATGTGTATAGTACCTTACGTCTGAAGGCTCATGCATGATCATCAGGATACTTTGTTACAACTTAACAAATGCTGTCCATATACCTGAAGTAAACAAGTGACATCACCATATATACTGAGAGAAACAAATGAAGGATCACAGGAAAATGCAAGCGTTCCTTTATTATTTTAAAGTTTTCATCACCACAGCGCTATTCAAAGCTGCTGATGAAAAGTGGAAAATATTAAAGGAACGCTAGAATGTTCCTGTGATCCTTTATTTGTTTCTCTCAGTATATATGAGTCATACATGATATGTGATTACACAATGCTTGATAAAATCATTTTTATTTAAATTGTGCAAAACATCGCCAAATCCATAAAGGAACTATCCAAGTATGAATTCTATCACATTCAACCAGCTTCTTTTTCAAGAATAACAATGTCGGTGATAACTGTCATCATTTTGATACGTTTACACCAATATTTAATAAAAGCAACAACAAACTCCTCGTTTCGACATCAGTGAGAAATCTTGTAAAATGATGAGCATGTTTATGTTTGTTTGTTTGTATATCGACTCACTCCGCAATATTAGAACTGTGTGTCGGCGCTCCTTATATGCTTGAGTCTGAGCCAGACAATCCAGTGATTGACTTCGTGAGATAACAGAGCATGTGTTTATGAATCACTATCAAATAGTGACGAGACAACGTCTGCAACCCTAAACCTCAGCACTATAACCTCACTTTATGTTTTGAAAGTGTTGGCATATTTACCAACGTAAAACTGCAGCTTTGTTTTGTGATGACAAACGAAAGCCTTATGGACAACCATCTTGAGGCTTTCAATGCTCTAAGACAAAGACTATCTGTTTGAAAACGGAACACCAATATATCTATAATAAGTACTAATATTAAACGCTTGTACTTATAAAACACTTTGTGTATTAATACGTAAGGGGTCCCTCTTTTGAGTGAGTGAATGAGTTCAGTTTTACGCCGCTTTCAGCAATATTCCAGCATTATCAATATCAGAAATGGGCTTCACACACTGTACCCATGTCGGAACCTCTTTTCAATAACAAAATGTATACATGATAATGTCAGGTCTGCACATTATACAAACATTAGTCAAAATAATTATCATGAATGAAATACAATTATCTTCCTCGAGTAGATTGTCGTGACCAACATTTAGGTCAGTTACACACATGCTGAAACTATTCTGTCCACTTCACATTACCTGAGCTGCTTTCAAAGCTGTATAAATAATATTGATGATACGTCTCCAAAGGGATATATGAAAGTGAAGATACAGGTTAGAACTGATCTTCAGCGATCCATGCTTGTTGTAACAGGCATGTAGCAAGCACGGGTAATCAGACTGGCTGACTTGGTTGACACAGTCATCGAATCCCATTTGCACAGATCGATTCTCATGCTGTTGATCACTGGATTGTCTTGTCCAGATTCCATTATTTACAGACTGCAGCCATAGAGCTGGAATATTGCTGAGTGCGGCGTTAAACAACAAACAAAACAGAAAAAAGCAAACGAACAAATAAACTTAAGTTACACTTAATCGTAAATATTTATATAAGTAAAAATTGGAATATCTTCAATATAGTCCTTCCAAATATATCTGGGTATACCAGGGGATTATTGTCCTCGTTTCCCGCCCGCTTATCAGTTGTACTGTGGTATGGATTACATGCAGGCTTTACATGCAGTGACATAACAGTGAAGCGACATGGATGGTAATCAGACTTGCACCGTGTGTGTACATATTAACTCACCTAAAAAGTCACCTGAGCATAAACAGTAACCGACCATACTTGATAAGTATCCTTTAAAAGGCTCAGTATCAGATGAACATCACTGGGGATATGTTCAAAGGTCGGTTGGTATCAGCTCATATGGTATCACAACAAGATCGGCTCATTGCCACACATGGCGTTAGGATTCTCTAGGAGTAATAAACACATTTTAAAATATGTTACCACAACATAATGCATATATGAACACAAAGATGTGATCGTACATAAAATGAACAACATTTTTCTCAGTATCTACCAGTATATTTTCTGTGTAATCTATACAAACTTATGTGAAACAAGGTTCAAAATACAGACTGAAACACACGTCCACATAGTTTGTAGCACACTCCGGCACAGCGATGACTTAACATAACATCACTGCCACAGGCTAATTTGCATATCACGTGACCGGACTTTTCTCTTGTTTGTAATCAAACGCGCATATTCATAATAAGAAGAGACTGGACTCACGAAAGCTTCTCGGTGCTCTCTTCATAATGTTTTACATTGTTACATATATATTCTTCCACAACTGCGACAGTTAGGTTTATGGCAGTACATATTTAGATATCAAACTGGCTGCATCGTTTGCTCTCCGTCGACTTCGATGACAGCACGTGGTGCCGTACAACCTATGTATAAACAAAGGATCGCTACGCAAATCGAAACGGTGTTACATGTTTTTGGATATTTTCTCAGTGAATTTAATTCATTCTATTAAAGATGTTTAGTTAGATGTGTAGACTCGTCAAAAATAAAAGAGTAAAAGAAATCTGTACATTATATTGAATGGACGGTGCAAGATGTGACGAATCGTCACATTTTTCTGGCCTGTGGCAGAGGTACTATGCTGGCTTGCCGCATGGAACTCTGGGTAGGAGAGTGAGTTTGTAGTGTAGGCTACGTTATAAACAAACACACAATAACCTGGAACCTCCGAAAATAGATTCTGCACTAAGTGTACACATCCATAAAGTAAAGTTAGCCATATATTACTGATATTATATTGTCTCTGAATTATTCAACGAGAGTAAAACTGTTTTCGGGTGCACGTGGCGACTAAACTGTCCAGGTTGCATTTACTATACGATGTGTTTGACAAAACAAAAACACAGTGCTGGTTATAATTATTCATAAGATTATATCAACCATGGCTCACTTTATGCATTTACAATTTTCCCCACATGGGCACAATGTGTGAAGCCTATTTCTGGTGTCCCCGCCGTGATATTGCAGGAATATTGCTAAAAGCGGCGTAAAACTAAACTCACTCATTTGTCATGGTTGGTACATTACTTTCTAGGTATACGTAGCTGTTAACCTCGACAACAAGCAAACTTAGACGCGTGTTTATCAATAAGGCCCAAAGCCTGATGTATTACGTCACACACCTTTAAACACCTGTGTGTTGGCGGATGTTGGCAGTGTGCCAGTTTACCTGTACAGTCCTTGTATATTTGCCCCTTGGGCGCCGTGTGGATATATGCGACTGAAGGAAGTGAGATTGAGAAAGTTTATTGTGTTCATTTCTTCGTCCTGAAGGACTTCAGGAGTGCAGGGATCAGTGAAGTATCGTCGTGAAGCGCACTTTTCGAGCCGGACGCCATATTCAAAGTACCTTTTTGCATAGTCAGCAAACCGCAATTGACTTCCGCCTTTAGATATTTCTTTTAAAAGGTGGGAAATATTTTAACGGATATCGACATAGTTGAAGTTTAGCTTGATTGAAATATGTCTGTGAATGAATCTTCAAATCTTCAAAGCTGAAACTGTGTGGTGAACATGCTCTCAAATGTCAGGTGTAGTCTATCGATGTGAACCCATTTCATGGCTACTCAGATGTCGTGTATATAAACCAGCTTTGACAAAGCATACACAATCTTTATCAGCAGTGTTTGACGTGTCTTTGTAAACATGTAGATGTACCGTCTATGGGGCTGAGTAGGTTGAGGTCAAGGGTGAAGGTTCAGGTGTGGTTTTGGGTGGAAGGGGGTCGAGCGTGGAGTGTGCTGTTAAATTAAACAGTCCAACGATTTGTATGTAGGTATGTAGGCAGGTATGTATTTTTAAAACTATTTTACATATATATCCTGCGTTGAAATGCAATACATTGTATTTAAAAAGAAAAAGAAGAAACACAGAAAATGAACACACGATTGTATCATTTGCTGAATAATTACTTTTGAAGTATCAAGTGTACATTTGAGTTTCTTCGTTTCTAGACATTAACCGAACACCTAGTAAATTGTATTTACAAAAAGTTAATCCTCATCTTGAATAAACACTCAAGTTACAGGAAATTACAAATCCTTTCAAATCAAACTTTGTTCAATACATCAAAATCTGCATTCAACAATAGGGAGGAAAATCCCTACAGTGTGATGGAAGGAAACTTCTGTTTAAAGAATCACTCATTACGTAGCATTCTAAATACAATATGCTCATACACAGATATTAATGATTACACAAAGTGAAAACTACACTAAAATTATTATAGTTAGTATGGTGGCGTCAGTATCAAGTGAACCTTCCAGGTGGTATACAATTGGTCAAACGTTTTGAAATGAATAGGTAGCAATCATGATCCACGTGGTGAAATATGGTAGTTCGTCATACCTTCGGCCACTTGTTTGCAAGACCCGGATGGCATACATGCCAACAGAAATGCTGAAACACTATTCACTCGTTCACAATTTTCTATGGGGTGAAGTTAAAGACTCTGAAGATGTGGGTTGTTTGATCACATGGATAATAGATATCTTATTAAATCTAATGAAAATGTTTCTCATCTTAACAGATACACCATCCCAACGGCAAGGATCATGTCTGTGGATGAAGTTCAACAAACTATTCCAGCCAGAGTGAGGCACTGGGCACAGATCTACCCTGACAAAGAGGTGTTTGTCTTCTACAACGATGAAGGAAGGCGTGCTCTCACTTGTAAAGATGTACACATCCTCTCCACTAAATTTGCTGCACTTCTACAGCGTCGGGGCTTGAAACGTGGAGATGTGGTCTGTAATACACTCACCAACTCTCCTGAACGTCTTATCACCGATTTTGGCATCATGACGGCTGGTTGTGTTGCTGCCAATGCCCAGGCACTGTTGGCAGATGGTACGGATCTGTTGCATGTGATCAACCTGAGTTCCTGTCGTCTGTTGATTGGGGACAACACATTACCTGGGGTGCTTGGGATCTTCTCAAACCTCATCTTGGAGAAATTCTGGACTCCAAAGTAAAATCAAGCAATGCTCCTAACCTAGAAATGGTGGAGTTTGTTGGTGTGAAGGGAGGAAGTAATTACCTGGAGATGTTACGTCAGGAAGGAGATCAAGTCCAAGTGCAGGTACTACCAACAGACACAGCTTTGTATTGGGCAACTTCAGGCAGCACTGGCTTTTCAAAACTTGTACCAAAGACGCATGAGGTTATGATCCTGCTTTCTAGCAGTTTTACAAAGATGTTTCAGATGCATCAGTTGAATACGAAGGTTTACAGCGATCGACCTTTAGGCTGGACAGGTGGGTGGCCTTATGTATTCATAGACATGGCCATCCCGGTGGTGATGTCCGACACAAGAGGTTCTATTCGAGATCAGTGTCAGCTGTCTTGGGAAGCAGTAAGAAAGGAAAGGTGTACAACTGCACTGCTTACAATTGCCTTCATGAAGAAACTTGCAGAAAGAACAAATGTTTAACACTCAGATGATGTGATTCAAAGATTAATGTGTATTTGTACAGGGCAACCTTTTGCCAAACATTGCTCTGAGTTTGTTGGTAAGATCTGCAACTCGGTTTCATCTGCATACGGACTCACAGAAGTTGGGTATGTATCAAGCTATATTTGTGAGAAGGAGGAAGACTTCGAAGACAATCTGGTGGGAATTAGCCTGTCACATGGAGGTGAAAGTGGTAGATGAACAGTTTGAAGAGCTTGGACCAGACAAGGACGGACAAGTTTTGCTTCGTGGAGATTGTATGTTCAAGGGATATATCAACAATCCTGAAGCTACAAAAGCAGCCTTTACAGATGACGGATGGTTGAAAACAAATGATATTGGACATTTTGATGAGCAAGGGCGTCTCTTTGTCGAGGGAAGACAATCAGATGCCATTATGCATGGAGAGTACATCATATACCCATCCTGGGTTGAGAAGAAGTTGAGAACATGTCCTTATGTTTCTGAAGTCATGGTGGTCCCCGTTCCTCACAGGGACTTGTATCATGAGGTCTGTGCCTGTATCATTCCCAAACCAAACATGGATGTCACCACCAAGATGATCAAAGATTACTGCGATCCAATGTTTATTTCTGATTCTCTACATGAAATGTCTGCTAAACCAGCCTACTATGTTCTGGTGGAGAATTTCCCTCTTAGACCAACAGGGAAACCAGACAGGCGGGCATTATCAGAAATAGCTGCAAAAATGACAACAAGAAGCCCCTAACATTTCTGTCGAAATCCCACCAGTGACCTGCAAGGGCATATGATTCCACCCATCCTGAAGGACGTAGCATGTGACAACTCGACAAAAGAAATGGTGTTGGGATTCAAACTGTAATCAATAATTCTAGAAATATTATGAAAATAGGAGTCGATAAAATTAACTGGAACATCTGTATCCACACTTAAGCGGATTTAGGTATTCGATCATTTCATTACTATTGGTATAATTTGTTGTTACTAGCTTCCCTGTTAACGATGCTCAGAATAGACCGCCCTTCTGCAGGGGCAAAATGATTGTTACCTCTTCGGGAGTATTAGTAATGGTATTCAAGCAGTAACGGATATTTTGTCCTTATGTCAGATAGTCAGTGAATATACAGAGATTGAAGTGTGGACAGAATCAGAGTTATTTCCATGTTATCATCAAACAATTGATATGTTCACAATATAGTACATGGTTGTTCTCGTCTTTCTATGAAAATTACATGGCAATGGCGTTCAATGTCACAATATATCTTCTCAAAAATGGATTTACTACATTTAAATATTCGCACGTCCGGTTCTCAGGCTCCTGAGATGTTATTTTCTTTACGGTGAATCCTGCTAGCTATTCTCGAAACGTTCGTAGCCTTACGAACTGCTTCAGCTCATTCTTAACATGTTGGCTACGATCAAAGTTAAGAATTCTTAGGGCTACGAACGTTTCGAGAAAAGGGGATCTGTTCGTATTTGTTTATATCAATAAATCCCTCATCATCGCATACTTCAGTATTATAAACGTATTATTGTTTTTAAATTCTTGTTCACCCTGTTATAGATCGTGACCGTATTTACGTCTTGCAGTTTACATTTAATAGCTCTGTGCATGGTTACCGTACATACTCTAAGTTATCATTATTGAAATATTTAACAATTGTTAATCTGTGTGTTACGTATCCCTCATAGAATTATTCATTGCACATTACCGTACATATGCTAACATAATGTCATCACAGAATTTTGTGTAACAGAATAATGTGTAACAGAATAATGTGTCCCTTAGGACTGTTGATCTACAACATCCTGGGTGAAAAGGAAGCTGAGATTATGTCATGTCCCAATTCTTCTGATGTCATGGTGGTCCCTGTCATGAGGTCTGTGCCTGTATCATACCCAAACCAAACATGGACATAACAACCAAGATATCAAAGGGTGAGTGAGTGAGTTTAGTTTTACGCCGCACTCAGCAATATTCCAGCTATAAGGCGGCGGTCTGTTAATAATCGAGTCTGGACCAGACAATCCAGTGAACAACAGCATGAAGAGCGTCGATCTACGCAATTGGGAACCGATGACATGTCAGCGAGCCTGACCCCCGATCCCGTTAGTCGCCTCTTACGACAAGCATAGGTTACTGAAGATCAATATTCTAACCCGGACCTTCACGGGTCAGACATCAAAGGCCCATGCGATAAAATCTTCATTTCTGAAACTCTGCATGTAATAAGTGCTGTACCAGCATTCTGTGCTCTGGTGGAAAAGGGGCTGTGGGGTAGACCAGTGGTTAAAGCGTTCGCTCGTCACGCCGAAGACCCGAGTTCGATTCCCAACATGGGTACAATGTGTGAAGCCCATGTCTGGTGTCCCCGCCGTGATATTGCTGGAATATGGCTAAAAGTGGCGTAAAAATAGACTCACTCGCTCACTTTGGTTGAAAACTTCCCCCTCAGACTAAAAGGCAACAGAGACCTGTGGAATTTATGAGAGAGAGGGCAAAACTACCTCGATCTGGACTCATGAACCAACGATCTGGAAAGGCGGCTGAAACTTCCACTCAGCAGATGGTGTGGTAGTTTTTGCGTCCGAACGTCACGCCGAAGGCCTGGGTTCGATTCCCCATATGGGTTAAATGTGTAAAGCCAATTTCTAGTGTTCCCTGTCGTGATATGGCTGGAATATTGCTAAAAGCGGCGTAAAACTTTACTCACACCATTGAGTGGAGCTATATTTTACCCCTTGTTTTTGTAAACAGTTATCTCATGTGTTCTGGTATGCTTATTCGCCGTGTGAACGTGCGAATTTATATTCAAGGTATGATAATTTAATCAGATCATATAATAAAGATTTCGCCATACTAAACGTCTGTAGTATGTCTTGATGCATCAGTCTCCACGTTAACATGGATCTACAGCAGTTCATGCTGGTAGCAGGCGGCCATGTCTGTCAGCCAGCAGCGACAAACGGGATCGGGTGGTCAGGTTCGCTGATCTGGTGGACGCATGTCAGTCATCCTATCCCAATTTCGAAGATCGATGCTCATTATGTCAATTACTGGACTTTCTCATCCAGACTTGATTATTTACAGACGGCCATCATATAAGGATGTTGATGGGGGCGGCGTTAAACAACAAACAAACAAACAAACAAACATACAAATTGGTGTCGCTGTCATTGAATATCTTCAATCGTAAAAGGCATTTTAAAAGAGAGAAGTCGGGGATTATCGACTTTTGGACATAATCCCCAAGTATATGTATTCAGCTGTTTCGACTTTTAATAATGCAAAACCAGGGCCAGGGATGGAAATCACTTTAAAATTGATAGTGTACTCCGGTACAGTGGCACATTGAAAGTCACTTGTCCTGATAATCTTTCCACTATACCGACCGTTTTGTTGCTGATGTTTAAAATAAACAACATAATTAACATTGGAGAGTCAACTGGACACCGGTACCGTGTGATATACTAATTTGCTTGCCCAACAGATAAAAACACTGGACTCGGACGTCGGGCAATGGGTTATTTCCACCCCTACAGAGGAAAATAGTATAAGTGAAGAAAGAAATTCAAACTAACACAGAAAACAGGACTTTCCTTTTTACATTTCATGTTTGTTAGTTTGTTGTTTAATGCCACACTCAGTGATATTCCAACGGCGGTCTGCAAATCATCGAGTCTGGACCACACAATCCAGTGATCAGCATCATAACTGGGATACGATGACATGTGTCAACTAAGTCAGCGAGCCTGGCCACCGGATCCCGTTTACGACGAGCATGGATTGCTGATGACCAATTCGAACCAGGATCTTCACCGGTGTTACATTTTAACGGGTAGGTAAGCTGATGAAGAACGCTTAAGGATTTAATAACGCACAAAGGACCAAGGACATTATGCTAACTATGCAGGCGAATTATCGTCGAAGCCAATGCAAAATCCATATGCTCACTTCGAAAATACGGTTTCCTTGTGACCTGTCACATTGTACAAACGATGGATAACATCAAGAGGTTCACCAGGCAAAGGGCGAAGATCACTATACTGTGTGAAGGTCACTCGTTTTGCCGCTTTTATTGGGAACCACTGCAAGCGCTCAGGCTAGGAAATTGAGAACGTGTTTCAACATGCAATATCTAGGCCAAACATGCAATGATCGTAGCAAGCTAATCTAGGTGTGTCGGTTAGCGACCCCTCGTAAACTGGGTAAACATATATGCGATTGTGACTGAGATTTTAAATACGCACTTGCCCAATCGCTAGGCTGTATCGAAGCGTCTTTGTACCACATTCTGAAAACATACATGAAGGTTTTATCAACTTAGACGAATCTATTCAAAATAATTTCATCTAGGTATATAATATTATAATTAGCGTGAAAAAGGTATGCTCGGTCACGTTAACGACTTGGTAAGAGCCTGTCTCCAATAATCGACAATAGTTCTTTGTCAGTTTTATACAACCAATAGTTTATTTGATAACAACCGATCTAAACATTAATTGAAGTAACTCCTCTTTAAAATGTGTCACCCACAAATCTAGGCTGGCAATGTAATATTTGACCGACTAAATCGTTTCTGTTTGGCTGATTTCCAAACAAACTCTTTGGCCAAATGTAGAGATATTAAAATCAGCGAGTGATACACCCGGCCTTTATTAACTACATCTTGACAATGTAGAACACCAGTGCTTGTCACCCTCCATAAACATTCATGCAGTTGCTCAGCAAAGTACGGATCAAAGTTGAGAAAACAAAATGGTGTCTTACATCAGCTACATATTTCCAAAATGTTCATGCAAAGAAATTATGCCTCTGCTCCCCTGGCCTTATATAGCAAATTAATATATCAGTTCCATTGTTTATATCAAAAGTTTATAACTTTCCAATGCTGTTGGTTGTCGGTTTGCTGTTGACGCTACACTCAGCAATCCAGTGATCAACAGCATGAGCATCGATTAACGCAAATGGGATACGATGACAAGTGTCATCCAAGTCAGCGAGACTGACCACCCGATCCCGTTAGTTGCGACAGGCATAGGTTGGCTGAAGACAAATTCTAACCCGGATCTTCACGCGTTCTGAATCATTTGAAGTGTCATGGCGGGGATTAAGCTGACGTACATAGAAGAGACAGGCGTGGGTTTGTGATGACAAAGTTTGTGTACAGAACAATACTAATGTAACATTCAGTGATGAAACATTTGTAAATTCCGATATCAAGCCAAACGCCGTTGTATCGACATTGAAGGCACCTTCGTAAATACTCCGAGTTATCGAAGGTTCGACACAACGACTAAATTTAGAGTACGTCTTTACTCGAGGCACACGTACGTTCAACACATCACAGTTCTGACCTGATTTGAGAAAACTCAAAAAGCGAGGTTAACAGTGACGTGCGTTTTCAAAAGCAGTCAGACGTGAGAGAAAATTACCCTGCCTGAGCAACTGTTGAATTTGATAGCCTCAATTTTCATGGCGAAGCCACCAACAGACATACGAGAACACTTTCCTAAACAATCCTTCTGCGGGCAAGAGCCAATGTAGGCTTCGCTTCGTTTAAGCCGAGACCAAGGACGTCGAACTGCAGTCAAAAAAACTAGCCAGAATGTGCAAACTGCACGTATGGGGAGATACGACACATCTGACGTTGCTTCACGAAAATCAGACCATGACGAGCAGACGACAACTGCTGTTGCTCTCTGCACAGCTTACTGCATAAATACGTTAACTCTTTTGAGTGGCATACTAGTATTAGAAGTTGGAAAGTACAACACTCACAAATTCATGGATAACATCTTTTATTTCACACTCACAAAATTACAGAAGTTGCTGTCCATAAATTTGTCAGCATTATATATACATTACAAGAGAATATGGTGTACTCAATCAGTCGTTTGGTGTATGTCCATGTTCCCACTAGAGAAATTATCATTCTATGTACAAAAGGTCCTATGTAGTATTTTTCCAAACCAACTAAAACACACTCATTAAACAAGGAGTCTTTGAACGGCGTTTAGACTGAGCGAGTTTAGTTTTACGTCCACTCAGCAATATTTCAGATATATGGCGGCTGTCTGTAAATAATCGGCACTAAATGATGAACTCAAGGTGAAAATTTATGAATGTCAACTTATTTATTTTGAGGGACACGCCGTCCACCCACCTTACTTGTTCTCTCACGTTTGGATTATTGCTGCAGTCTTCTTGTAAATATCCGCCAAGATCTATTGTCCAAGCTCCAGAGGATTCAGAACTCTGCGGCGCGATTGATTTGCCGAGTCAACAAGCGCAGTCACATTACACCATTGCTGATACGCTTACATTGGCTGCCCACGAAACAGAGAATAGAATATAAAATCCTCACTCTCGCTTTCAAGTGCCTCCATGACAAAGCTCCAATCTATCTGAAAGATCTCCTCAGTGAATATGTCCCACCACGGCTTTTAAGATCAAGTTCTAATTGTCAGTTGAATGTCCCCAAGGTCAGATTAAAGTCATATGGACATAGACAGTTCTCTTACACAGCTCCCCTTTTCTGGAACTCACTGCCTCTTCACATCCGACAAGCCGCGTCCGTGGAATCTTTCCAGTCCCAACTGAAAACTTTCCTTTTTAAACAAGCTTATGAACTTTAATCCTTTCTTCAGATCACTATCTTTTAGCGCCTAGAGAAATTGCCTTGCAGTTTGATTTGTGCGCTATACAAGAACACTTATTATTATTATTATTATTACCAATTTAGTGCTTATTACCTACATTGTTATCTAATCACTGTTGTTTCACATGTACATATATAGCCATTTGTTTCAAAGTCTTTCATTTACCTGATGAAGGAGTAAGAATACACTCCGTCCCTCAAAATTAAGAAGCTGAGATCCATAAAGTTTTGATTTTAAATTAATTTAGTTCAGCGTTTGCAGCTTTCATCCGTCAAGACTTCAATGACAGCTGGCATTCCTAAACATGACCTGTTTAATTCCATGCAGTGTCTCCAACAGGTTGGGATATACCGAACTTTTGTGTTATGAATTTGAGGTCGTGTATCTGAAGTCCATTTCCATTGTGACAATGGTGATAGAATATTGTTTAAAACAGCATACTGCAAAACAGAACATCGCAACAGAAATGTTCCACCTCATCCTGTCAGTATAGTTAATCAAACATCCTTTGACATAAAGAAAACCATGACATACATACATATAAATATTTATTTGGTACTTTTTTCTTACATCTCAGTAGAAAAAATGTATTTGTAGCTCTAACCTTGAAAGATCAGATTACTGTACGATGTATATACAAATATTACATAGCACTAGTACAACAAAATGTGCTCAACTACACTACAATTCCAAGTTCCACATGGCAAAACAATCACTGTATTCTAAAACCAATAGAAAACATAGATCTATGTTAATATACATGCAACAGTATGCATCTTGTAAAATCCATTTAACAATATCCTGGGCATTGATATCTGCATCAAAAACGACAACCAGAAACAAATGTTATATTTGGGATTACACTTTCTCAGTACTCTAGTACATTTGTTGGGTTGAGTCCCATCAGAGATTTGAAACCACACCCTCAGAGTCAGGCACCTAATCGCACACAAAGCAAACAAAGTCAACATCCAACCCACTGAGCCACCGCCCCAAAAATGGAAGTCGGACAACTGGTAGTCTAGACCACAGGCTCTGTGTACTTCTCCAGCAACCGAAAGCTTGAATACACAATGCCATTTAGAAAGTGGTCAAATGTAACACGTCATATTTAGGACTACACTTTCTCACTTTCTAAAGGGCATTGTGTATATATAGTTTTCAGCCACAAGAGCGTGCCAATTTACATATAACATGTGTGGTGAGCTTTGTGAATAAATTATGATGATAATGAAGCCATTTGTTGTTTGAAAAATTATGGTAAGAAAGATAAATCTGACAATGGGTTAAATATATCACACCATTTACTTTTAAATCGACATGTGTCTGATACTGAAAAAAGGAACCACACAGCCAGGAGCCTGGAGCCATTATCATTTCGAATTCTAAAATGAGGTCTGTTTTAATGGTATCTCCTGTCTATTCTTCGAACCATGTCCCACTGAGTATGAACAGATAAGGTCTGAGGTGGTTCCACTTGAAGATGTGCAGCAATGGTTGATTATATCCACAATGTCATCACTGAGAGAACAGTTCAGCTCAGGTGAGTTACACTCGGAGGACTTGAGCAGCAATGGTAGACACGGGCTGTTTGTTGTCTGTGGCAGTCGAGGGGATCACAAGTCTGCAGTATGTGCCCCCAACTTGACCCTTGGCTACACGTCCAGGGTTGACCACGCAACACCCCTTGATGTCCTACAACAGAGTCGTGTTATAGATTAGTTGTTAAGTCTCAAATTACACCTGCAGGGACCAACATCACACGGGAACCTTAGCACTAAGGGGCAAATAGGATCATCATAGTGCTAAGATCAGAAACAGGTCCCAGAACAAAATCATGGATGCCTTAAAGTTCCGCATTCCTTGAGTGAGTGGATGCGTTACTTTATTATTGGTTGGCCTATTGTTAAATCAGCCTGAGCAATAGCATCAGCAATGAGTTTAGTTTTACGCCGCTTTTAGCAATATTCCAGCAATATCACGGCGGGGGACACCAGATATGGGCTTCACACATTGTACCCATGTGGGGCATCGAACCTGGGTCTTCAGCATGACGAGAGAACACTTTAACCACTAGGCTACCGACCACCCCAGCATCAGCAATGAGACACTGGGTTATCACATCACTACAGACCTAAACATTCAAATACCATTACAGAGAACATCCACTCCATTCAGAAATCTTTGGTTAAGTTAAAACCAGATGTATGTTGATGATTTTGTTACCTTGACAAAGTATCTCAGATCTGAGGGTACGACAAGAACATGTGGTGTCACTGGCATACGTCCGTACACTTCAAAGTGGTCGTAGTCAACGTTGACGTCTTCGTGCGGTGGATACAGTGGGTAGTAGCTGCAACAGCCATTTGCATCATCAGTATCAAGCAGCACACAATGCAGTATTGTCATTCTGGAAGAGCCCTGTGCAACATTACTTATCTAGATCAACAGAACAATGGTATTCTTGGAGAACCCAACAGAACAATGGTATTCTTGGAGAGTCCAACAGAACACTGGCATTCTTGGAGAGTCCAACATAACTCTAGTGTTCTTGCAGGTCCCAACAGAACATTGGTTTTCTTGGAGAGTCCAACAGAACACTGGCGTTCTTAGAGAGTATTCTTGCAGGGCCCAACAGGACATTGGTATTCTTGGAGAGTCCAACAGAACACTGGCATTCTTGGAGAGTATTCTTGTAGGGCCCAACAGGACATTGGTATTCTTGGATAGTCCAACATTAGGAGAGTCCAACCCAACAGACACTGGCGTTCTTAGAGAGTCAAACATAACACTGGAAGTATTCTTGAAGGACATTGGTATTCAGAACAATATATTCTTGAAGAACAGAACAATGGTACAGGCTAACAGGCTACTAGCGTTCTTGGGGAGTAGTCTTGTAGGGCCTAACAGGACATTGGTATTCTTGGAGAGTTCAACAGAACATTGGTGTTCTTGGAGAGTCCAACAGAACACTGGCATTCTTGGAGAGTCCAACATAACACTAGCATTCTTGCAGGACCCAACAGAACACTGGTATTCTTGGAGAGTCCAGGATATTGGTATTCTTGAAAACACTGTATGCAACAGAACTTGGAATCCAACATTCTTGATAGGAGCACTTGGACATTATTCTTGCAAGGCCCAACAGAACACTGGTATTCTTGGAGAGTCCAGCAAAACACTGGCATTCTTGGAGAGTCCAACATAACACTAGCATTCTTGCAAGGCCCAACAGAACACTAGTATTCTTGGAGAGTCCAGCAAAACACTTGCGTTCTTGGAGAGTCCAACATAACACTAGCATTCTTGCAAGGCCCAACAGAACACCAGTATTCTTGGAGAGTCCAGCAAAACACTGGCGTTCTTGGAGAGTCCAACATAACACTAGTATTCTTGCAGGGCCCAACAGAACACTGGCATTCTTGCAGACTCCAGAACATTAGCTATATTGGTATTTTGGCACAACACAATGACAGAACAATATTCTTGACAGAACTGAATGGAACATTGTTATTTTGGGAATGCTTACTCTATACAAGTATTCTAATTAACATTATGTTATCAAATTATCAAATTGTTCATGTGCTCCTTAGAAGGATAAAATATGAAACTATTTTATATACATTTCAATTATGCAATTTGTGGTTGTATTTCAAATTCAAGATATATTACTATATTACAGAAGCACTGTTTATCAGTGTCGTACCTGTGTTGGCAGAGCATGTGTTGGGCCAAACGCCCCAGTCTGTCAGCAGAACCCGGGGGGCTGAAACAGAATAACACCAGTATGTCCGTGAAAGTTACACCACTCATCAATGTTACACCTATAATTCATTGCAGAATTCAGATGTTGCCTGTGTAACATGACCAGGATGAAACCTGTCTGTCTCACAGCTTTTAGTGACATGTGTTCTGTTGTGTGTGATTTGTTCCTCTATTCATTCGGAGTTGGCACAATTCCAGCAATATCACAGTGGCAATTAAAAGATCAAGTCAGGACCAGACAATCCAGTGATTGATATTGTCAGCAACCATCCACACCATCAGGTCATGATGACATACAATCAACAAAGTCACCAAGCCGGATTATTGTTATTGGAAACAACAAATTGAAGAAAAAGTAAAGGTTGTAAATCCTATGGTAAACTGTATAAAAAGCTTTAAATATAGATAAACTAGACATACATTAGAATGTATGTATACCTATTATATACTTCCACATTTCGATTATTGTTGCTACATAGGGGATAACTGTACTAAAGAACAGTCTATGATTCTAGAAAATTTACAATTAGACGCTGTAAGAACGATTTGTGGAGCCATGAGAGGAACTAGTCATGAAAAAATCTACAAGGAGACCAATTCATACCATTAGTTAAGCATAGAGAAATGAAAAAACTTTATTCTACAAAATGCATAATAACCTTACTCCACACTACTTATCTAAGTTAATTCCAGAACATGTTTCAGTTTTAAGTTCTTACAATCTGAGAAATACTGATAGCATTCGCACAATTCGTTGCCATACAGACTCTCATGCACGCTCCTTTTTACCAGACACCATACGTTTATGGAACAATTTATCAACCGAAATAATTAACGCCAATCAGTAAATTCGTTCAAAACATGATTACAGACCCAACAAGGAAATACTCTTTGATAAAAACTTTAGATCTAGATTTTGTCAAATAATCCATGCTCGCCTCAGGTTGGGTTGTAGGACTTGAACGCTCATTGTTTTGATAGACATATTTCAAGTAATCCAAATTGTGCATGTGGGTATCCATGGGAAGATTCTCTCCAATATTTCTTTTCTTGCCCTTGTTATGACTTAATAAGATCAGATAAATATTTCTACACTAATAATTTTGACTTAAATTCAATTCTTTAAGGCAATCAAACTTCAAGCAATTGAATTAATCAGTTTATTCTTGACTGTTCATAAATACATACTACTTTCAAACAGATTCCAATTATTCTAAATTCTAATGTATGCAATTACTATGAACCATTTAATATAATTTTGTAGACTTTTCCTATTATTATGCATTTCATGCCTTTGTGGAAATAATTGCTTCTGTACTTTGTTATAAATTAATTATTGATTGTATTGTGTTATATTTGATGGAGCGGCACTTACGTTCAAAAGCTGTTGGCTTGTTGTGTCAATCCATATTCATGTTATGTTTATATTTCATGAATAAAGTATGTTTAAAACACCAAGCCTTATCTCCTCATTCAGTTACTACGACCAGTATTAGTACCACAGACATGAATGAAGAAAAACATAACATTTGCCTCATGGTGGATTTTTGCAGCCATAGTTGCCACAAACGGATTCTACCCCGGAGACCCAAGGTTAGAAAAAACTTTAGTCTTTCAAGATCTGGACCTTTCAGACGAGCAGACTTGCAGCATGTCCAACCAACCCACTCAAACTGTTCTACTCACAAAGATATCTTGACCTCTCAGACAAGCAGACTTGCAGCATGTCCAACCAACCCACTCAAACTGTTCTACTCACAAAGATATCTTGACCTTTCAGACAAGCAGACTTGCAGCATGTCCAACCTACCCACTCAAACTGTTCTACTCACAAAGATATCTTGACCTTTCAGACAAGCATGTTGCAGCATGTCCAACCAACCCACTCAAACTGTTCTACTCACAAAGATATCTTGACCTCTCAGACAAGCAGACTTGCAGCATGTCCAACCAACCCACTCAAACTGTTCTACTCACAAAGATATCTTGACCTTTCAGACAAGCAGACTTGCAGCATGTCCAACCAATCCACTCAAACTGTTCTACTCACAAAGATATCTCCTCCTGACCCAGGTGGAACAGACTATCTGTAGATGTAATCCCAAACACGGTGTTGTTGATTTGTAGCGTGCAGGGGTCAGAGACAAACGTCACATTCTGTACAAGACAAAGGAATGATATGCAGCTTGACATTATTGACAATATTCATCTCATCTTCCAATATCAAACAAGAAGACAAAGTCATCAATATCCCCCGCAACGGCAAAATACTCTTTATGAATATGTCTACTAGTTATGATTATGTCAAATGTTTTCGAGTGTATATAGCAAAGTTGAAGGAGTATATAAAGGTTTTTAAGATCTGCTCCAGAAAGGAGCACTACCACCAAATTCAGTTGAAGCCTAACTTGTTGCCATGGAAATGCAACAAGATGGCATCCTCATAGTCACAGTCAAGTCACGTTTTCACGGAAACCACATCAAATAAAAATGTAATTTTCTGAATAAAATTGATATTTTATACTTATCCTGACTCATGCTTATTGCTTGTCTCTCTTTCCTTCCAAATGCTAGTGGAACACTTGAATCCCCTTTTGAAGCTCCCTTAAAAAAAGCGGACGTAAAATCACTTACCAGGAGTTACGTCCCTTGCTAGTTTTGGCAGGAAAGGGCGCCACCCGTCTCCCATGCTCTTCACTCTCTCCCTATTTATAGCCCGACACACTGATTTACTGGGAAATCCAGAGTGCCTTGAGGGGAGGTTGGGAGAGACTTACCTCAATAGTCAGGATAAGTATAAAATATCAATTTTATTCAGAAAATTACATATTTTCCTTATCCTGACTCATGCTTATTGCTTGTAGAATCCGGACGGTTATAGGTGGTGGGTCAAGCCACCTCTGGATTCCTTAGTGATGAATTAACGTCCTATATACCCCCATGGGAACTTTAATTGGCACTGCTGCTGTTGATCCATATGCTGAAATAATTTGGTAATTTGGGGGGACCACAATATATCAAACTCTTCTGTAACCGTACATGTGGATTTAAATAACTCCAACTCTTGATGTTCGTATCAAGTGGAGTAGTGACCCAATCCGTGTACAAGTAATACCTTACAAGTACAGGGTCGAATATTCATGCTAGTCTGTTCTAGACGTGTACATGGACTATAAGCTCTATTCCTTGGAGTACGAGTTTTGCATGACATGTGTTAAAAGGGTAAGATACACCTCAGCGCCTTTGAGGGATCGTCAGCTGTTGAGCTACAACCAGAGATCCAAACTGGTGGATACCGGAGACGTCCTCGGTAGCAATGTCTCTGAGGTAGTGGTTAGCAAATACTGTCTCCGATTTCCAAAAACACCCTTCCATGATCGTGGATATTGAGCAGTTTCCATGTAGAGCGAGTGTAGATGCCAGTGCTCTAACTTTGTGCGGATTGGAGGCTTGAGGGGGATCAAGTCCTGCTGCCTTGTAGGCTCGTAGTATGATTGCTCTCATCCAAACTGATATCGTAATACGTGAGATCTCTGTGGGTGTCTCCGACGATATGGGGATGAAAAGGCGTTTGAATTTTCGTCTCCTGGTTTTAGACTTTTGTAGATATATTTTCAGCGCTCTGACTGGACATAAGGATAAATCTTGTATATCCTGCGGACCAAGGATTGTAGATAATGCTGGGATGTGGAATTGTCTGTCCGGTTGACCTGGCAGTTGATTCTTAGCTATGAATTCCCACCTCAATCCTAGATGAACCGTGTTGTGACGTGTGGCAAACCGTATCCGTTCAAAGTCCAAGCGCATGTATTTCTGAGATCCGCCAGTTAGTTGCCAAGGCGATCAGAAATAGTGTTTTCTGTGTAAGAAATTCGAAAGGAGTTCTTTCTAGTGGTTCGTACACATCACTGGTGAGATGTCGTAATACCACGTTGAGATCCCAAGCCGGCGCTTTAAATTTCCTTTGTTGGTCTTCCAGTTTAAAAGAGCGTAGCAAGGCCAGTAACTCTGGCACTTTCACAGTTTCATACCTGTCTTCATAGTGATAACTGAGCTGAGAGCCGCTAGGTATGTAGATAATGTCGAACCTTTTAATTTCTTCATTTGTCTGAGATGACAAAGATATTCCGCCACTTGAGGATGTGTTGCTTTCACTGCAGTGAAACCTTTCCTCAATGCATATTTCTCAAAGCTATGCCACTTTGTCGTCATACAAGTTACGGTAGATCTGCGTAAAGCTAGTGTAACTGCTTTCGCTGCTCTGGCATGAGTATCCTCTTTTGACAAGCAATTCGTGATACGTTCCATACGTGTAGGTGGAATAATCTGGGATACTTGTGAACTTGCTTGATGTGAGGATGAATTAGTAGGTTAGACCAAACTGGAAGTTGTATTGTTGGTTTTCCCGATTTCTTGTAAGAGAACGGGAAGCCGTTCTTACTTGGCCAGTAAGTGCGACCAAAATCACTTGTAGATTGTTTGTCTGCCTGATTTTCTGTAATACCTGTGGTATTAACGCTGGCGGAGGGAGCGTCATGTGTTTAGCCCTTCCCATGGGATGCTTAGAGCGTCTGTCGCCCATGCTTGCGGATCGTGAATTGGAGAGACGAATGTTGCCAGTTGATTGTTGAATCTCGTGGCGAATAGGTCTACGAGTGGAGATCCTATCGTCTGTATGATGCATCTGAACGCTTGTGGATGTAACATCCATTCTGTTGGGGATGGTTGATGTGGTCGAGAGAGCGCATCTGCTATTACATTCCTGGCTCCCGGAATGTGACATGCTTTCACATAAATGTTGAGATTGTCTATTATGTTGAATAGTTGAAAGCTGAGGTCTAGAAGATTCCAAGATCTTGTTGATCCTTGTTTGTTTATGTAGAACGCCACTGCTGAGTTGTCCATATGGATCATCAATTTTACGTTCCTTAGTATGTTGGACCAATGTAGTAGGGGATTTACTACTGCTTTCATCTCGAGCATATTGATATGCAGATTCATTTCTTGTGTCGACCATTTCCCGGCAACCACTTCGTTGTCGAGGTGCGCTCCCCAACCATGCAGTGATGCGTCTGCGTAGAGGTGGACGTTGCACTCCGGCTCTATTAAGTAATTTCCGCCGCAAACATTCGACTTCTGAGTCCACCATAGTAGATATGGTTTTAGCCTGTCTGGTATTTCGAAGGGATCCAGACTGTGTAAGTGGGCATTCACAAATCTCTGTAGTGGATGCAGTTGTAGTCTCCCTCTGTGCGTCATGTCTTGAGCTGACGTGAGGAGACGTAATAGGCTCTGCCGTTCTCGTAGTGATCTGGAACGAGAATGTGATTCTTCGTTGTTATAAGCCGTATTCCCGTATTCCTAGGAATTGCAAGTCCTGAGTAGGCTCTAGTTCCGACTTGAGGAGATTTACTAGCCATCCTAGTTGAGTGAGAAGTCTGATGGTGAAGTTCAGTTGCAGTCTGAGTTGACTGGGATCTTGCTGAGCTTGAATCCCGTCGTCTAGGTAGAACGCACTGCGTAGACCTCGACGATGTAGATATATATTGATGGGCTTTGTCACTCGAGTAAACAACCAGGAGGCCGACGATATTCCAAATGGCAGGACCTTCCATTGGAAATGACGTCCGTTGAACAGGAATCGCAGATATTTCCTTGACTCCGGATGGATCGGGATGTGTAAGTATGCATCCTGTGAATCTATGCTGGCGAGATAGTCTAGCAGACGTATGAGCTGTCGTAGCTGTGGAAAATGTATCATCTTGAACTTTGCAGGTGGTAGGAGGTAATCTTTGTTGAATTTCCTCATGTTGTAAATGAGTCGAAACTTTTCTTTTGAATTTTTTGTTTAGTACCAGAAAAATTGGGGAGTAGAAACCTGGTGTGGACGCAGAGTGTTTTATCTCTTCTATTGCCTTTCTCTAGTAGAGATGTGATGGCTTCTAGTAGATTTCCTTCTGGTCTGCAGCGTAGTTGTGAACCAATGGGTTGATTGTTACTGGTGGTACTGCTTGTAGCTGTATCCTGTAACCTGTCGTAGAATCTGAGATCTTAAGTCGCCTTGAAGAATTACCCAATTCTTCCAGTAGAGTTGCAGACGTCCACCCACTTGTGAGGGTTGTACTGGAACGGCTAGGGGTGGAAGACTCCAGTCGTTCCGAACCTGTATTTCATCGTCTGGAACTTCTGGCGCCTCGAAAGGGCCGACCTCTTCCGTAGGTACCTCTTGGAGCTGCGGATGGGCGACGAAAAGAATCCTTATGTCCTTTAGCGTTGCCTGATTTCTTATCCCTCGCTCTCTGGATGCCTGCAAACTTTGATTTGCCGAAATAACGTTGGGAGGTCTGACGTATTACACTGGCCAGTGTATCGATAGACTTGATCATCATTACTTCTTGGGAATCTTTAGCGACTTCCTTGGCAACTTCATCAATTTCTCCTGCAAAAATGGATGGTGCTGACCAAGGGGCTCTGTACAGCTCCAAGTACATGAAGATAACAGTCCTTGCCTTCTTGATAACGTTAAGCCTGCAGAAATGGATGATAGGTGTTCAGACATGAACTGATGATCCTTTTTCTGTGTAAGTAGAGCTGAATAAACCATTCTATCTTCCTCTGAAGTTGATTTCTTAAACTTCAAGGAGAGTCTCGTTGATAGCTCTTGACCTGGCTAGGCCGAAGAAGGTTCGTCTGGTTACTGTGTCTAACTGTGCCAGCTTTTTATCTTCTATCTTGTAAGCTTTAGTCCGAGTGTCGTTGATGATCTTATAATTCTCATCTATCTCTGGGGCCTTCATGAAGGGTTCCATGTGGTGTAGAGAGAACTTCTTAGCGTTGAACGACGGAATACTCTGAGTCTGGTATTTAGTTGCCTTCTTGTAGGCTGTGCTGAGGTTGTCTGGAACGTCTAAGACAGGGTCGATAGGTGGCATCGTGAGTGAGTCTATATCATCATTCACCATCAAGTATGATAGTTCTTCGTTGGTCTCCTTAGAGGATGATGCGAGTTCCAAACCGTTGGCCATCCATGACTTGATTTCCGAGTCGGAGAATATTATTAATTTCGCCGTCATCTTCCTGCTCTGAGGATGGATGTCTTCTATTGTCGCCTCTGAACGAGGAGATCTGTAAGGTGATCTGTAAGACGATCTGTGTGGTGACCTCGCGCGTATGGCGATCTGGAAGGCGGGCACTGGCGCAGTGACCTTTATGGTGAAACATGCGTCGCGTGAATGTGTTCGTGACATCCTTCGTGGGGACCGGCGTGGAGATAGAGAGCGACCGTGCATGCCTTGCCAGCGAACTGCGGTTGGTCGAACGGCTTTGTCGAGGGTTGAGTCTTGTGACGAATCTCTATGCCTTCGTGCGAAGTTGATTCTCTTCTCCTTGGTAACAAACCGTTGCGTGCAGGTTGACCTTGAAACGTCCGTATCTGACGTTAATGATGATCTGCGTGGGTTCGGGCTGACGCCTGGTCCCTTCCGTCGAACGTAAGTTGGTGCGGAGTCCACATTGGTATGGCTGCCAGGTATTCGTATGCGGATGCTGTAGTCGAAGCTGGAATCTTCCTGTATGCTCTGCAGGACGCTTGGTTCCAACGGACGGGTGTGCTGCTCCAGTTGACCTTCACTGGTTCGCCGCAGACGCCGTCTTCGTTTACAGCTCTTCGGGCGAACCGTTGTTCCATCAGATCCAACATCTCTTGGGTAAATTGCTGCATAAAGGCCTCGGTTGAAGGTCTGCGCTGTCTGTTGTACTGACGACGATCTGAGACGGATGAGGCTTCTTCCTCGGCGGGCGTAGATCCTCGCGGCTCAACGCCTGCGTTGATAGGATGTCCCATGCGTGGTCACTGTAGAAGACGTCTTCGCTCTTCTTCTTAGATGTGATCTCAGGGATGAGGATGGGCGGTTCATCATAGACATCTATTTCTTCCAGAGGGACGATCTCAGCTGAAAAAGATCTCGTCTTCTGCGTTGCCCCGTGTGGAGGCTTCGCCGAAGTCTTAGTTGTAGCTGCCTTCTTCCTCTGGGAAGATGATGCCCTAGTCTTCTTAGACTGCGAAGAGGGTGTCTCAGATGTAGATGACCTCTTCCTCGAGCCAGCGTTGTCTAAGGCGGCACCCTCGTCCGTAGACGACCCCGGTAGACCACTGGAATAGTGTATCTGCGCAGACACCAACTGCCGGTCCTCTGCAAGCTTAGCCGGTTTAGACATGTCGTGTAATTTTCATCTGGACCTGTCCTTTGCACGTCTAGACAGATAATATGAATATTTGTAAAATGCAATATCAGACAGGTGAAAACACAACTGACAATGAGTGTCAGATAAACATATAGGGTTGCAATTAGGACATAGGTTATGTGGATCGACAGCAGACAAACGATACCTACAATCAGAACAAGATTTCATCAATTGTAAAGAATATGAATAATCACGTAAAAACGTGACAAAAACGGAGAAATTTGAGAATTAATCCGTACAATATTGTAGGTAAATGTTAACTTAAGCTTTATACAGCTAATTTAGAAGAAAAGCCTAAATAATAAAAGCATATAAAGCCGTATAGGGGACCAGGTGCTCTCACAACCGCTCACTCGGGCGAATCAGGAGAGAGTGAAGAACATGGGAGACGGGTGGCGCCGTTTCCCACCAAAACCTAGCAAGGGAGGTGACTCCTGGTAAGTGATTTTACGTCCGCTTTTTTTAAGGGAGCTTCAAAAGGGGATTCAAGTGTTCCACTAGCATTCGGAAGGAAAGGGAGACAAGCAATAAGCATAAGTCAGGATAACGAAAAATTTCATATCTGGGTCTAAAGCCCAAAAGGCACGCCTATGGATCATGCTTGACATAATCTGCTCCGGTCAAGATGACATCCTCATAGTCACAGCCTAAGTCATGTTTCAATGGAAACAGCAAAAAATAAAATTCATATCTGGGTCTAACCATCCAATGGCACATCTAGGGATCGTGGTTGACAAGTGTACCAAGGTTGGTCAAGCTATCACAAATAGTTTAGGAGACATGCTAGGGCTGACAGACAGACGGCCCTCATTTCTATATCCTTCGTTGTTGCTGGGGATAATACCGCAACTTCGTTGTCGCGGGGGATAATAAAGATTCATGTTCATGAGATTTCACTTTAATATTTTGACTGACCTTTGGCTCAAAGTTTTTAACATTCATCTGTAACGGGGGCTGAGGGTAGACAGCAGAATGATGAACGTCTCTCCCTGACGGCACCACGATGAGCTTACACTTCATTCTACAAAATAAGGATAGAATATTGATCTTCAGTAACCCATGCTTGTCGTAAGAGGTGACTAATGGGATCGGGTGGTCAGGCTCGCTGACTTGGTTGACACATGTCATCGGTTCCCAATTGTGCAGATCAATGCTCATGCTGTTGATCACTGGATTGTCTGGTCCAGACTCGATTATTTACAGACCGCCGCCATATAGCTGGAATATTGCTGAGTGCAGCGTAAAACTAAACTCGCTCACTCACTCACAAAATAAGGATAAAGATAAACAAGAGATATCAAGATCCATTCTCAGGCAGATATTCCAACTCAAAGACTAAAGCGAGCATCAGTAAAATTTCTGAGTTTGCCAAGGTTACTTGTGGAGATGACTTGCATTAGATTCAGAACAGTACCAGCAAGTCAGAGGTTTTAATGTTTTCTTTCACAGTTTTGCATTGAATGAAATATCAAAATACCCATGAATATATGCAAATACGTTTTATTCTTCTATTTGTCGAAAGGAAACTTAGTTTGTAATCTAAGATAACTCCCTGTATGCTATGCACTGAGTTGGGTTTGACAGCACTTGACCACAAATCACCAAGTCTGACCACTTTATCCAATATATTCGCCTCTTTCAACAAGCAACCAGACATGTTCCAGTACAGATTACAACAGGGCAGCTTACTGCTCAAAGTGACCCAAGCCCAAAATGACCCAAGCCTAAAGTGATCCACAGTGGTCCAAGCCCAAAGTGACCTAGGCTGATTGATCTATGCCCAGTGTGACCCAGTCCAGATCAATCTTTCTCACCTTTCTGTGACGGCAGCCACCTGGCCAATATTTCTCTGGAAGATGTCCTCAAATGTACAGGTAACAGAACCCTTCTGTGAAACAGAATAGCAATCATGGTCAGGCTTTACACTGAAGAATCACGAAAAAAGACTGAAAAGGCAAACAAATACAAGACACATATTCAACATTGAAACATCAAGATAAAATAGACTTCAGATAAGTATCACAGGGCTGTGCTGTAAAAAATCACAGGCCTTCCTGCCATCGTCGTCCTGGACAAGGGAGGTAACTCACTATAAACAGGCAAGTTTTCACCTTTGCTGAAACAGCCTGCAATATCTGATGTATATTTTGGCTGGATCAACAAGTCTGCAGAGTGGCATCAACATTAGATTTTGGTCAATTTGAAATTATAATTACTTCTAAATTGGTGTTGACAGTGATTCCAAATCTTTTCATGCTTTAATTCAACATGTTCAAGTAATTTGATGCACTTCATAACGTAAGAACCATTTTATTACAATATAATTCTTAATTACTGATGGTCTTCACAAGGCATTGCCATTTGGATGGAAGTCAATGCAAGTGATATGGGAGGTGGGACCTGATTGGTCAATAGGAGGGAGATTGAGGGGATGTCACATGTAACAACCCTTGCAATTTGTGCCTGGTCCAGAAACTGGACGTTTCGGTCAGGTTACCCCCTTGAGTCAGGAAGATGATGCTGCATGTGCAATGAAGACATCGATATGATTTTCCAAACTGTTCGAGCAAGCAAGTGTCTGACAACGAAAGCACAAGAGCAGTTTACTGCTGCTAAAGGAATCTTTGGTGTGACGGGCTAACACCCTATAGACTATTAATGATAACAATAATAAATCGATATTTCTTTTGCGCCATAGTCCATCCAGAGATTGCTCAAAGCGCTACATATAAAAGTCACTAGAGTTCATGACGAAAACATGACAGTTCGTAAACGGCTATTCCGCCACACTTACATACATATTTTTTAAGGGGAAACTAACCTCTATTTCTTCATTCTTGACGTCTACAAAGGGTCCAAGCTGAAACATACGATTTTATCAAATGACAAACTGACTAAAATGACACACATGAAACGTGAATACACAGTACACTTTCACTTGAGACTGTCTGTAAAATATATGCATTTGACACACAAACCAATGACTGGAAGAAAGAGTAGTGAATGACTTTAATTTTGATAACCATGATTGTGTGGCTATTGCTGCTTTGCTTCATACATTTTTAGGGCGGTGGGGTAGCCTAGTGGTTAAAGCGTTGGCTCGTCACGCCGAAGACCCGGTTTGAATCTCCACATGGGTACAATGTGTGAAGCCCATTTCTGCTGTCCCCAGCCGTGATGTTGCTGGAATATTCCTAAAAGCGGCGTAAAACCAAACTCAGTCAGTCATACATTTTTATAACAAATTTTAGCCAGCAAGACCCAAGTTAAACTTCCTTGGTGATCTCCAAAGCCAATATTGAGCAATCCAAGGTTCGGAAATGTTTTGGAAAAGTCCCTAAGGCTGGTGACTAGTTTTTGCTGTCATATATCAGAGTGGAATATCTCCAAGAAAATATATTCTCAATGTGTGTACTCCCAAGGGAGCTGTGAAAGAAATGGGGTGCACACTGATCCAAGGTAATAATCATGCACTTAAAACCCGACATGTAGCATGGAATGCAAATGAAATGGATCATCACTAATAATAATCGTAAAACTTGCATCCTCATATTGGACACGCATTTCCAGTTGTCAGCAGACAGAAGAGTCACTGATCATGCTGATATTATCGTGAGTGAGTAGGTGGGTATTATTGCAATATTTCAGCGGCATCACAGCAGAGGAGACCAGAAATGGGCTTCACACCTTGTACCAATGTGAGGATTCGAACATGGGTCTTAATCATGACAATCGAACACTTTAACCACTCAGCTACAGGGATTGGGATAGAAAACTTTGACAATGGGCCATTTTCAGGATTATTAGCCATTTTCTGAATTTAGAATGGGCCGCTGCCCTTGTATCAATAGTAAACTTCAAAATTATAATGGGCCATTTGTTATTCTAATGTGCAAAATGGCTCATGGCCCCTGCCTTTCTCAATCCCTGCAGCTACCTCGCCTATAAGCAACGATCACGGCAGTCTGGGGATGATGACAAGTCACTAAGTCTGACCAGCCTCTTCTCTCTATGTCCCCTCTTACAACAAGCATACATTGCTGCATTCTCTTCCCACAGAGGTTACTTGTCATATCTTCCTACGAACCTCTGTTCTAATACCAGTGTTCACGAACAGCGTCAGACCCTCAGACAAATCCCTCAGATTCGCCGACGGTTTGATGGAGGTCTACAACCCGCCGGCCCCAGTGTCTGACTGTATATTTCACAATGACTTTGACTGAAGTTGTTATGTGTCATGTGACACTTGTTTGCTGTTTATAAGTTTTACGCTCGTTAATAATTGCAGTGCAAATTACAAGACATGTTAAATCGGAAATGTGTGTTTATTTTTTTCTTCTGTGGGTCCTGGGAATTTTCAGTGGGTCAGACAGACATCTGAACTTACAGGACCCAACATCCTTTTACCTTGAAACACCATTCGTGAACACTGTAATACGGCCATATTTCCCGGTTCTCGTAAAATCCCCTAGCGGCAAAAGATCGCAACACGAATTATCTCCCTTCTTTCTATCCAATCAGAACACGTGTTACATTGACTTAGATTCAACTTGACTAACACAAGCAAATGTGGGGCCACAAATATTCCCCATCTGCCAGGGACACAAGACGTTTAATGGTTAGCTTGTCCGTTGTCAACGAGGGCGATGGAGACGCCACTGATCCGCCATAACATGACTGAGGTCTGTCTAGAAAAAACGTTTGCGCATCGCGCAGCGGAAAAAGTTTAGTTTTCTCGAAGCATCCGGAAATTACCGAGGCCTTGCGAATGATCACTTTTGAAACAACGTCGCTGATTGCACAACTAAATCTGATTGCCTCCAATCACGAGTCTTGAACGCTCACACCATGAAAGGGCCGTATTAGAACAGAGGTTACGTAGGAAGATATGACAGGAGTAACCTCTGTGGGAAGTGAATGACATTGCTGGGGACCAGTTGAAACTCAGTCTCCACAAGGATCAAGCAAGATCATATGAAACCAGGCTCGTATATCTTCAGACATTACAACAGATCTGAATACTGGATCTCACCAGAATGCAAACGTCTGGTCTGTCCCTCTGCAGGTACTTCATGAGGTCATCCAGGGGTTCATAGGTCAGCGTGTCGGAGGTCGTAAATGGGCCGGATGCGATCATAACACTCAGAGGTGCATCTGGAACCCAAAATGAAGCATTTTGGAAAATTATGTTACACATGGAAAAAGGTCCAATGTTATTTCTACAAATGAGAAACAATGGCATGTGGTTAGAACTTGTGGCCTTTGTTTCATGATGGGAATATGTTGGACTTTACGTCAAAAATTCTACATGATTAGGAAACTCACCGATTTCTTGCTTTACTTTGATGTCAGCTGGGGGCAGAGGGGAATTCTGTGGTAAAAGAAATGTGAAATAGAATCTGTTCATATCTAACACAGCACTCGCTGATGGTGATTATTAGAGTTGTAACAACACAGAAGGTCACATCAGCTAACGTTTGAGCAACCTATGACTGTCCAATCAAATGAGAGATGGCCGAACAGCTTTAACCAATCAGACAACAGCTACTATTTAGTGTTCGGCGGGACTTACAAAATGTTTTCGGATTTACTCTTCCCCGGTTGCGAACACTGATCTCTCAACAAATGAAAATCTGCATAGAACACAGATATTTGACCTTCAGTATATACACTTAGGGGTTTCTGATGACATGATACTATGAGCTTATATTTCCGCAAGATGACATCCTGAAATGTTGACAAAAACGCTATTTTCAGCAACTGTTTACTCACTGTTGTGAATAATGGCATCCTCCATGTGTATCGCTCAGAAGCGATTGTGCGGAAAATAGCATTAGGAAGTATTCGAGTACAAACGTTTTCGAGGTAAATGTTCAAACGGTATGTGCGAATGCTAACTTTCACGATTTGGTAATCTGTGTTCTCATTGGCCAATTCAAAAGGTTAGCTGACGCGACATTCAACTGGGGTTTGTTAGACTCAGTATAGCAGTTTAACGAATAATACTGAGCCTAAGTTTACTTAGACTAAATCCTGATATGATTTGTATCCCAAAACAGTACTTATATTTCAAAAGCCCCCTTTCTCTCTTCTTTTTGGCAGATTGTAACAGGTTGGTTTTAAGGCACCGTTCAAGGAAGCATTCCACGTGGACATATATGCTGAACAAACAAACATTGAAGATTCTGTTCTGTTCAGAATCTAGAATGGGCGAAAAGATTTATCATCAGAATTATTGTGAATGAGAAGAAAGATTTATGACTGTTTATAAAAGATGAAGTACCAATATACCAAGTTGTCGTCAATTGCAGAAAAAGGAAAGCAACTGTTTTAGCTAAATATCAAATGTTCACAAAGTTAACCAGATATAATTATGTCACCATCCACTTTTGATGTGAAATATTGTGTTTCCATATAAATCTTTTTGCATATTTGCTGAAAACTACTTCAAAATTTAGCAATAATTGATCCATATCTTGGTAATAATTATCAAAACCTTTCATTGATCAACAGGCTAAAAGCATTGAACCTAAAGATTCCATGCCTTGAAAGAAAGGCTAGAGGAAGTCTTTCCCTCGATTAAATCAAAACAAGCAACAACCCATTTTGTAGAACAGGCAAATGTAAAATGGCTACAGATACGTACCTCATACAGTTTGCTGACAACAAACTTCTGGCCGGTGGTGTTGCTGCCGTCAAGGGCAACAAGCTGACCAGGGAAGAGGGAGTATTCCTTGAGACTGGACAGGTCAAGTGGGATACACTTCCCTGCTGAAGACTCCCGCGATCCCTCCAGGATTACAGACTTGGCGTTTAGTTTACCATTACTGTCACAGCCGATTCTACCAGACACCGTAACTTGGTCCTGAAACACCGAACTCTAAACTGTTCATATGTGTAAAGAGCGTACTATATTCATCCTATTGAGCACCATGCTCCAGTAAGTGCACATCTAGACCATATTGTACATGGTAAGTAGACTTCATAAATGCCTCAACAAAGTCCAAAAATGTATTAAAAACACATTTTTCGTGTATACCACCGACGTTTTTAACATGTTCACAAAAACCTCAATAGTTAGAATGATTTATAACTACCTGAAACCATAATGAAATCTTGTTTTATTTTATTGAAGCCTTAACATAGTTTATTCTTTACTGCACCCAGGGCATTGGATTTCAGGGAAAATAGTCTAAAATAATGCACATCATTATGTTTACACCGCTTTCAGCACTATTCCAGCAATATCATGGAGTGGGGCAGAAATGGGTTTCGCACACTGAACCCGTAGGGAATCAAACCCGGGTCGTCGGTGGGAAGCACAAACACTTTAACCACTTGGCTACCCAAATACCTCTGAAGGGCCCTATGGTTTCTATTCTAATTGACAATACACGACTTAAAGACAACAATCGCTGTTAGAAATGCCTATCTGAAGGATATATTTAAAGAGTAAGGTCGGACCTGGTTAGGGAGTGCCACGTGAGAGTATTCCTCAATGCCATGTTTGTTCTGGAGCTCAGCAGACATGTCTTCTATCATGTCATTCAGAACTGAAACAGTCATGCGTGAAGACATAAATTCTACTGAAGTGAGTGAGTGAGTGAGTTTGATTTTACGCCGCTTTTAGCAATATTCCAGCAATATCACGGCGGGGGACACCAGAAATGGGCTTCTACTGAAGTGAACATGTTGATGTACATATACCTGCTTCTTCAGCTGAATTCTCTATTTATAACTGTCACAATACAAGAGATCAATGTAAGGAAGAGCATTCCGATAGAGTTCTCTAATAAGACATTCAAAGGTCAAACTACATGAACAATTAAGCTAGTAGAAGGGGAGTCTGATAATCCCTTCTGAGTGAATGAGTCTAGTTTTATGCTGCTTTTAGCAATATTCCAGCAATATCACGGCAGGGGAGACCAGAAATGGGCTTCACACATTGTACCCATGTGGGGAATTGAACCCAGGTCTTTGGCGTGACAAGCCAACGCTTTAACCACTAGGCTGCCCCACCACCCCTATATCCCTTCTGAATATTAATCACTCCGTTCATGAACCAATACAACACAACACAATAAAATCATACTACTACACTCACTGTGAGCCTTGTCTGTGAGTTTCTGGAACATGTGTTTGAACTGTGAGGTGAGATGACATGTCGTGTCAAAAGGTCCCACCGAACATCCTTGGCCTTGACCTTGCCAACTGACATTATCTGTGGGTCCAAAACTACACACAACATCACCAGCATTTGTCCGAGTTGAGTACTTCCGTGAGGGGGTAACACTGAAATTAAAAGCAGCAAAAGATGAAGAATAGCAACCTTTAGTTTACATTTTAAGCCCCAACCTCAGCAGAAAATTAGTCCAATTTTCTTTAAGGAGCTGATTGGATACTTTGCTAATCAAAGTCAAATGCTGAGAAAAAGACTTAAAAACAACGAGAAAGGGTACTTTTAGAGCATCAACAGAAATATGTGAAAATAAATAATGTAATTTTTGGAGTAAAATTGATATTTTATACTTATCCTGACTCATGCTCTTTTTGCTTGTCTTCTTCTTCTTGCGAACATAGTGGAACACTTGTATCTCCCTAATTGAAGCTCCCTTCAATTTAAAATCACTAATTAGTATTCACCACGAGTTACCTCCTTTCCACAAGCGCGGGAACGAGGGCGCCACCTCTACCCATGTGCCTCACTCTCTCCTCATATACTGAGCCCAACATTTGAATTTACAGGGGAAATCCAAAGTGTTATTTGGGGAGGATGGGAGGGCTGACCTCATGAGTCAGGATAAGTATAAAATATCAATTTTACTCCAAAAATTACATATTTTTCCTTATCCTGACTCATGCTCTTTTGCTTGTAGCATCCTCACGGACGGAGGTGGGAATATCTAATACTTTGGATTTTTAATAATTAGTGATTTGAACTGTGATGATTGTAATAACCCTATGGGAACTTCATAAAGGCACTGAACTGATGAATTCCTGCTGCTAACTTATCAGCTGCCATATAAAGGTTATTACCATGTACTTATTATGATAAAGTATATATAACATTAATACAATGCTTAAGACTAATAGACTTAAGCTTGTTAATATCACTAGTATAAACTCCTTAGAGTTTGTTAGCTAAAATACTTTAAGATATAACATAGTACTAAGCTTAAGATATGATTAAACTTAAGCTAATTATATAATAGCAAACTCTTTAGAGTTTGTTAGTTAATATACTTATATGATATAGATATAATGCTGAGCTTAAGATATGAATAAGCTTTAGCTACATATATAATAGCAAAAACTCTGTAGAGTTTGTTAGCTAATATATTTTTTATAATATGAGTATAGTACTGTGCTTAAGCTATAATTAACTTAAGCTACATATATAATAGCCAAACTCTGTAGAGTTTGTTAGCTAATATATATTTATAATATTAGTATAGTACTGAGCTTAAGATATAATTAACTTAAGCTACATATATATAGCAAAACTCTGTAGGGTTTTGTTAGCTAATATATTTTTACAATATGAGTATAGTAGTGTGCTTAAGATATAATTAACTTAAGCTACATATATAATAGCAAAACTCCGTGAGAGTTTGTTAGCTAATATATTTTACAATATGAGTATAGTAGTGTGCTTAAGATATAATGAACTTAAGCTACATATATAATAGCAGAACTCCGTAGAGAGTTTGTTAGCTAATATATTTTACAATATGAGTATAGTATTGTGCTTAAGATATTATTAACTTGGCTACATATATAATAGCCAAAAACTCTGTAGAGTTTATTAGCTAATATGTTTATAGTGTAACCATAGTACTAAGCTTAAGATAAGATTAGACTTAAGCTAAATGTATATAGCAAAATAAACTCCTTAGAGTTTATTAACTAATATACTTTTTATGTTAAAAACATAGTACTGAGCTTAAGTTATGATGAAACTTAAGCTATATATATATAATAACAAAACTCCGTCGAGGTTTGTTAGCTATCTGCTTTATAATGTAAACATACTGCTTAAGATATGATGAAAACTTAAGCTAATTGTATAATAGCTTAAAACAACCCTTTAGGAGTTTGTTAGCTATGATATAAACCTAGTATTGAGCTTATGAAGGAAAACTTAAGCTACATATATAATAGCAAGAACTCCGTGAGAGTTTGTTAGCTAATACATGTTATAATGTAACCATAAAGCTTAAAAATATGATGAAACTTAAGCGAAATATATAATAGCAAAACCCTCTTTTAGAGTTTTGATAGCTAATATACCTATATGATATAAACATAGTACTGCGCTTAAGATATGAATAAGCTTAAGTTACATATATAATAGCTAAAACTCTGTAGAGTTTGTTAGCTAATACATGTTATAATATAACCATATTGCTTAGAAATATGATGATACTTAAGCCAAATAGCAAAAACTCTGTAGAGTTTGTTAGCTAATACATGTTATAATATAACCATATTGCTTAGAAATATGATGATACTTAAGCCAAATAGCAAAAAACTCTTTAGAGTTTGTTAGCTAATCTACTTATATGATATAAACATAGTACTAAGCTTAAGATATGAATAAGCTTAAGCTACCTATATAATAGCAAAACTCCTTAGAGTTTGTTAGCCAATATATTTTAATAATATGAGTATAGTACTATGCTTAAGGTATAATTAGCTTAAGTTACCTATATAATAGTAAAACTCCGTAGAGTTTGTTAGCTTAATTAACTTAAGCTATGTATAAAATAGCCAAAACTCTGTAGAGTTTGTTGGCTGATGCATTTATCATGTAACCATAATATTACTCTTAAGATATGAATAACTTAAGGTAAATATATATAATAACAAACTCTGTAGAGTTGTTAACTTATATATTGTATGATGTAATAATCATAGTACTGTGATGATAAAAAGGAACTTAAGTAAATTATATATAGCATGAAGCTATTTAGTATTGTTATAAGATAAGTAAAAATCTGTTAGATTGACTTATCTTCTCAGAGAACTAATCAGCTGTTGTCGAGGACCATGGGATCAATTGGTGTATACCTGAGGCGTCCCTCGGTGGTGATATCTCTCAGATAATGGTTTGCAACCACCATATCGGATCTCAGAAATAAACCCTCCATTATTTCAATCACATTTGTGTAGAACAATTGTAGAAGTTAGCTATAATATCATGAGTATTAAGCTCATGGAGGGTGAATAGGTCCATCCGCATATGCAACGTAGTATGACAGTTCTGATCCAAATGGAGATATAGTACATGAGACTTTTCTCTCTGCGTAAGTTGATGATAGAGGAAAATAATCTGTTGCATTTTTCCTCCTGTTTGGTTTGGTGGAGATAAATTTACAGTGCTCTTGCTGGCCATCTTGATAGAATCATCGTATCATGGGGTCCAAGTATGTCATCCAGGCGTGTTCATAAACCTCACTTGTGAGGTGTTGGAGCACTATATTCATATCCCCAGGTTAGGCGTGAAATTTCCGTTTATTCTCAAAACAGAAGTTTAGTAGGTTTACTAACCATCTAGTTGTGTTAATTAAACGATGAAATTCAGCTGTAGTCTGGAAACGCTGTGGATTTAGATCCACTTGTATCTTTCGTCTAGGTAATTAAGCTCTTGAAGTCCTTGGCGATGATGTAGGTGCACAACCAGGTGTGTCTGTCCTCGTTGAACTTTATGTAAAATCGCCTGACTGCCGATCCCTGCCTTAACTTGACAGGGGAGGTCTCTAACTGAAGAAAGGCAGTCTAATCATGAATGTTCAGGTTAACTGGACTGTAATGAGGCTTGCTTCGTTCACTGATATATAGTTGTCACTTGTGACGTAAGTCTTGAACTGTGAATAGAGATGCGACCTCTGTGTAGGTCGTTGTCCCTCAGCAGGTCCAATCAGAACAAGGCATTTTGATTCTGTATAATACCAGCTGTGATGTCACCACCCGGTGTAGCGGGAAAAACCCACCTTGAATAAATTCTTGTCGCCGTTGATATTAGCATAAACGTCGGTCTTCACCGTAGCTTCCCGAAGTTATCCGAGTGACCACGTGTTTAGAGGGTTAATGGTAACCGCCACGAAACCTCCGCACTAATTATCTCGCTCTGTAATTTTATGCTGGGTAGGTTATTTTCCTGGTTGTCGTGAAAGTAATTTCAGTTTTGAATATAATTCCGACTTCCCTATATATAAGGAGTATAAACAACTTGCAAGTTGAGCTTGTAGACCGTATACATGAATGTATCGTCATAATTGTAGAATTAACGTTGAACTTGTTGTACATATTTCTTCTCAGAAACTTTGACGACAAGAGTTATACTACGCTGTAACAAGGCTGCTGTTCAATTTTCGATATTGAATTGTCTGCAGATATCGCGTAATGGTCACGCATGTAGAATCGTATGTAAGTCAGTCCGGGATTGTATATTAGCAATTTATCACGAATAGTTGATTTCTGTGAAGATCTATGAAATGTCGTTGACTAATAATACAGCGGCGCTCTGTGTTGTAAATAGCCTGAGCAATTATCTTCGCTGAAGGCTTATAGGCGGCATCTGGCATACAGTTGATAATCAACTTATGCGGCGTCTTGAACGGACTGGCGAGTAGCTATATATGACTTGACAGTGGCTAGTATATGGAAACCTTGGAGGAGACTTCCTCGGTGAACGCGGAGACTTGAAGAAGTTCTCAGTATCTCTTCTAGATCTTCTGGGTGAAGTAGACTTCACCATCGCGAAGGTGTCGAGTCAAAGCCGATTAGTATATATATATATATATATAAAATATATATATGGCTTGTTTAAGTGAACAGCCTCTGTGTTTAACAGGATGTGGGATCGTGGCTTGCCTAAGTAGGGCGCGCATGGATCATCTTATCATATTCAGAAGTCGTATTACTGAAGTCTGGTGATAAGTGTCTAATTGATCGTTCTAGATCTATTTAGGCCAGCGAACATACGTCTCGTCATGGATTCAACAGAACCAATATCGATTGTAGTTCTTATACTTGATATCGATGATCAACTTGTCTATGGGTTGATCTTCTGCCGAGGAGACTTGTGAGGGGAGCGTTGATAGTTTTACGCTGAAGCTCTTGTATAGTCCCTCGATGTCCTTCTAGATGATGATGATTTGGATTCCAGGTGTCCCCGCCATGCCTTCGCGAAAGCTTCCTCTGCGTCGGTCGGAGGAGCAGCGATATGACCTTCGCGAAGGCTTCCGTGATGTCTGATGGTCGAGTCCACATCTAGGGATGAAACCGCATAAGGTGATGATCTATCCTGCCTTAGCGAAGTCCTTAGCGAAGGCTGTACATCTAGGTTCTTTCCGCCCGAAGGCTGTACATCTAGGTCCTTAAGGCGTCAAGGTGGTCCGTGACTTCCTTCGCCGAAGGTGACATAAAATCCCTGGCTGCTACGTTGGACGGGGTGCCTCTGGGGTGTGCTGTCACGTTGGAGCCTTCCGCTGAAAAACTCGGACCCTGCTACCGCGAGATATTGGTCCTCCATGATGTTCATAATTTGTCGCATCATGTCTTCTGGGATGGTCTGCGGCGAGGTCGTCGATTGCTTTATCTGCGGTGTTAATGGAGGGTCCACCCGGAAAATCGTCCGACATCAGTGTAGAGGCATCAGGCTGCATGGTGATCTCTGCTGATGTCGTTGTAGCTAATCCCCGTGCGTTTCTTGTGGCGTCGGGGGGGATGATGATCAGCTGATCATCGTAGAGGTCCAGTCATCGGCTGGAACAATCTCGGTTGAGAAAGTCCTAGTAGACTTCGTTGATTTTCCCTCAGAGGTCGACGCTGCCCTGGGTGTCGCGGCGTCTGCGTTGAGTGTTGGTAATGATGGGACCCTCAGGGCGATCATACATATCGCGTTGGTACATCAGGCTGCATGCTGATCTGTGCGACATCGGTCAATCTTTGATGTACATCGGTATGATGACCGGCTGATCATCATACAGGCCCAAAACTTCGATGGGAGCGGTCTGGTTGTTGAGATGTAGTAGAAAAAACCCTCTAGTCTTCTGCTGCGGCGATGGGATGTCTGGGGAAGCAGGATGCTTCTTGGAGATGGCGGACTACGTCCACACTCTCCACCACTCCTAGCCAGGAACACCACGGGGAGGAGTCGGTAACAACAGTAGAACTGGCAAAGGGTTCCGTGTATCAGTCATACTAGACTCTGCATCACAGCGACCTATCTGCTGTCGCGTGCCAAGCAGCAAAGTAAATATTAATAAAAAGGTAGAATTGGATAAATTAGTACGCAACTGCAATGTAGAATATAATAAACATGGCGCCGTACATCATATTAAAGGCGGATCAGCAGCAGCATAAGCGTAATCTGCAATAGTACAGAATTTTCATCAGCGTAATCCACTGGAAACAAACCGCGGCGTCCGTGAATAAACTGTAGAAAAAGCGACTAAATATCAATATATAATGCGTTGAAGGATACTAGCTAAACCTCTATAGATGTCTATCTGAGGGTAACTAACTAAATATAATTCAAAGGATATAGTGTGTCGGGAGACACAAGGCTCTCGATCCAGCTCACTGGAAGAAGGAGAGAGTGAGGCACATGGGTAGAATTGGCCCTCGATTTCAGCAGCTTGTGGAAAGGAGGTAACTCGTGGTGAATACTAATTAGTGATTTTAAATTGAAGGGAGCTTCAATTAGGGAGATACAAGTGTTCCACTATGTTCGCAAGAAGAAGAAGACAAGCAAAAAGAGCATGAGTCAGGATAAGGAAAAATAATACAAAGTTGAGGTAAAGATATTGCCATGGATTAAACGTACGTTGCAGGGGAGAAACTTCGGGGGGAAAATGGCACAGGACTTCGCATGGCATTGCTGAACCTTTTCACTGGGAGATTCTCAGGTGTGTGTTGGCGTTTCTGTGGCAGGTTCCCCTGAACAAAGTAAAGTAGTGTGTCATTTGAATAGATGAATGAGGTATCGTACAGCAGTGTTACCTCACCACTAAGATGAGTAATCACATTCATGCAACTCTGCAAGTGTCATAATAATCATACTTTGTTATGTAACATGCTCCATGCATCACAAATGAACGCTCTTTAAGCATGTTAAGTGTTGTGTTATCACACTTTTGATCACCAATCCAATCTTATACCTTTCAACTTTGGATGTACAGGAACCAAATAGTGAGTCAAATGTTTGTGCAGGGTTTTACCTCGACTCACATACATGGGGGTCCTGGGGACCCCTAATTATTAGTTTTGTGGGTCCTTGCAGGCAATACAAAGGTCCTGTGAAGTCACGATGCAGAGAACTGTATGTTTTGATAACTTCTTTAGAGCCTGGAAGGAATCATTGATCAAATAGGTTGATGGGTCAAATCATGATGCACATAACTGCTCTGAAAGAAACAACCAAACACTTAGCTAAGTCATAGATGTGTGTGTTGTGCATCCCTGTGGAGATGGTGGATGCAGTGAATTTTGTTTTTCTACGTCCATTCTCTACATTTGAGCATACTGGATGCACATGTGCGCGCCGCGTAAAACCCTGTTTGCTTCAACCCCTAATACAACATCCTCAAATCCCATGGGGATATTTCTTTTCTCAGCACTCCATTTCTGGTCTTAAAGATGCGACTTAATTTGGATCTTGTTGGTATACACTTCCAATACAATCTACGCTTGTTATAACAGGCAACTCAATGTATCAGATGGTCAGTCCTGAGCTTGATGCGGAGAGCGTCACTGTACCCTGATGACACTGTTTGTTCCTCACAGTATTGATCACTGGAGCGTCTGGTCCAGACATGATTACTTACAGGCTGAAGTCATTAGCTGGAACATACTCTGTGTGGCATTGAAAAACAGTCACCCATACATTCTCAGGTGAATAAGTTTATTCATAACAGAGGCCCAGATAAGCTGCGTATTTGGGTAAAATACGCAGAGAAAATTTCCAATTACACATTGAAAAATAATTGTTGCGTACCAATTACGCATTTAAAATGTTAGATAAGCACAAAGTTTAAAACATATGCGTACGGAATATATCTATAAAAATCACTTGCGTAATGAAAAAGACATCGATTGGTATCTAGTTGTATTCTTAGTATAGGACAAGTGTTGTACTGTCAGTACAGGATGAGTGATTTTTTTATGAAATCATTTCCATTATATTTAATTTGGTTTTGCTTCAGTATGACATAAGGCAGTACATACCTGCTTTTAAACTTACTCAATGACATATACTTAGGTGAGTAAAATCACTGAAATACCCACATATTTGAAAGCAGTGGGTAACGGAAAATGAAATACCCACTCAACATTCATAATACCCCAATACAGTGGGTACAGTACCCACATGAGCTAAATCTTATCTGGAGCTCTGTCATAAGATTCTGCTTATAAATTCCTGTACATTGAGGGCAGAACATGTGTAACAAAGTAACACAGGATGAGTAACAGCAAGTGTTTAATTAGTTTAAAGCTATGGCATTATCCTCATACGTCTGTCTGTCATAGTTATCTTCCACAAATTAATGACCATATCTGCCCAACAGTGAGTGAGTCAGGAAACTGTGTGATTAAGAAAGGACTGCAGCTTGTGAGGTGAAGTGAAATTGGGTTTAACGTCGTGCTTGAGAATGTTTCGCTCATATGACGACGTGCATGTGTATGTATGTGTATGTGCGGCTGCTTGTACTAGCCCAGTCTTAAGCTGGTTTTGTAGTGCTAGCCCACTGAGATACCATGCCGCAGTGAAGCATGAATACCCCACTCAGACACATTGTACTGACTCCGAGGCGACCAGTCCTTATTGTACCCATTAATGCCGAGCGCCAGGCAGGAACCAACAAGTACCATATTTTAACGTCTTTTGGTATGACGCGGTCGGGGATTGAACCTGCGACCTTCCGCTCTCCGGGCGGACGCTCTAACCACTACACCACGGAGGCGGTTGTTAAGGACTGGCAGCATTAGAGATGAACAAATAGGTATGTCAAGTGTTTCTGATGACATAAAACCCCAGGCCATTCTTTTCTGCAAGTTTACTTTGTACCATTTTGTACTCAAAAGAAGTACCACAGATTTATCTGGGATTTTTAAATAAAAAGTCAATCAACATTAAGATTCTATCATGTATCTTTTTGCATCATATATTCAGGGATTTACATGGAGTCCTGTATTTGATGGTCCCTGGGACTCGTACTCTTAATTTTCAGGGGTCATGGACAACAAAATGGGGGTCCCAGACACTTAAATATTATTATTAATACTGTTATTGTATTGTGTATTATGATCATTACATTATTACAGTAATTAAATTGCAAATAATACCATAACCCAGCTAGTAGCAAACTCAGTGATAACTTATTGTCACTTGATTGGAATTTTTACAAAAGTATTTGAACTTTTTATGAGTCCATGTAAGAATTTGAACTTTTTCTGAGTTGTGGGCCAGCTATAAATTTTGTTAAGTCCATTGTCATTTATTTGAAGGGGAAAACCATAATTCTTATTATTCCTTACACTTAAGGTCTTGCATTGCTCTTTGTGAAAAAGGATACCCATCCTCTATGGTATTGATGTCATAAAGCACTGGACCTTTCTTGGAGGGAACAGCTTTAGGTGCCTTGGCCTTCTTTGAGAGACGCTGAAGAAACAAATGAAGAGATGATTGACATTAGAGGTGTGACGATACAGAAATTTCACGATACATTACGTATCACGATATCTTGGAACGATACGATTCGATACAATGCATATCACGATATGCTATCTTTAGTTATTTTCTTTAAAAAGGTGTATTTTGGTAACAAGTAACAGAGTAAATTTAGACATAACCGTCAATTTCTAGTGAAAATTCACAATTTTAAAGGTCAATGATACATATATCACAATACAAAAAAAAGTATCGATATATTTATTGTCAGAAAAAGTATCACGATTATCGATACTACGATATATCGTCACAGCTCTAATTGACATGTTCAAAGAACGCACCATGATAGCTTGATAACAGTGTGAGAATCTACAACAATATTTTGCCCTAAGCAATGAACAAGAAATTGTTATCTACGAAGTCATATGTTTTGTTATTTATTCACTAACTTCTAGATTGCCAATCAGACAATTTCATGATAATAACTTGAACAACCAATTCATGTCAGAGACTGTTCAAGTGTCTGTGTTTACACTTTAAGTTAATATTCGGTTTTGATATCTACAAGCCAGGGCCCGTTTTCAAAATCGCGCTATCGTGTTTACACTTTTGCTACAAGACTGTCGTTCACAAAGCTATCGAAGTCTATGTTACAGTATAGCAGGTATGACAGTTGTAACGCTACGATAGCTTTGTGAAACGGGTTCCTGGTCTCTTGGCATCACTATCAGCAGCTTCTAGTACTAAAACATATATCATTATAGGCTGAGCTTATCACAGTCTGTTATATCATGTTTGATTCACAAATATCTATCAGAAAGGAAAGTATCACGAAGATAAGATAATAAATGTTTAAGATGCATTATAGACCGTTTGGCTCAAAAGCGGACCGATGAATTGCAATCTAACACGAAAACTACTAAACATATAATCCTCAATGAAACACTGATCATAATCAAAACATCAGACCAACTCTGTGATTTGTTTGCAAAATTTATGTCCTAAAATTAGAAAAGTTGTTCAACAACCTATCATTAAAATTTTGACACAGTTCACTATTTGTTACAAGTAGGAGTGCAGAGAAAGGGACAGCCAGGTGTTAGAGAAGCACGAGCACAAGTGCCAACAAAGTTATTGATTCAATAACCTGTGCTGTGCCATCTCCATCCTTTCTCGCACACCTGGCTGTCCCTTTCTCTGCACTCCTCCCTCGTAACAAATAGTGAACTGTGTCAATATTTTAATGATAGTTTGTTATACAACTTTTTTATTTTTAGGACATAAATTCTGCAAAAAACTCATATGTTTTGATTATGATCAGTGTTTCATTGAGTATTTTATGTTTATTAGTTTTCGAGTTAGATTGCAATTCATCGGTCCGCTTTTGAGCCAAACCTGACTATAGTAAGGCAAATATTTGGTCATTCAAAGATGCTATCCTTATAAAAAAATCAGTCAAACCTCTCTTTCAAATAAGTCCAAAGATCCTAGGTCAAGATTTAAGTTTCTCTTTGCTGAGCACGAGAATGCCATCCACTCTGCAGCCATTTTGGCAGCTTCCAAGCGATGTACAATGCATAGTTCCTTCACTGTAAATTCATAACGTAAATGGTATCAAAATAAAACAATGAAGACAAGTTATCATAAAATAATGTGTCCCTTTTCTTGTTCTTGGCGTGACAAAAATAACTGGTGATGCTGACATACCAGTAAGATCTATTTTGCTTACAAACATTCACCTGGCCACAAATAAAGGGACCCCAACACAGTCCATGTCTGGCTGTAACTATATTCCGGTGCACCAAGGCATCATTAGTCTTCGATTGAAGACACAATGCACAACAAATCCTGGAAAGAATTGATCAGTAACCCATGCTTCTTGTAAGAGGCGACTAACGGGATCGGGTGGTCATGCTCGCTGACTTGGTTGACGAATGTCGTCGTATCCAAATTGCGTAGATCGATGCTCATGTTGTTGATCACTGGATTGTCTGGACCAGACTTGATTATTTACAGACCGCCGCCATAGGGCTGGAATATTGCTGAGTGTTGCGTAAAACTAAACTCACTCACATTGCAAAACACATATTTTCAGTAATGATATGAAAATTATGCTACAAGAAATTACACTTGCTCAGTTGCTTTATACTTGTTTCATGACACCCCAATCCCCAGCCGGATGTCCATTAAATATTGCAAAATGAATTGTAATTAAATGTTTACAAATTCTCACCCGCCATTACCGATCTCGCCAGCGGTCGTTTGAAACAATGAAAATAAAGCATAAGTTGACAAAGTAAGCAATTTAGTACACTTGTTTCATTGTGACAGGATACAATGATATTCTTTTTCACGTGTGACAGCTGAGAATACCTCTTTCCGTCATCAAATAATGGAGAAACCAGTGTATCTATCATCACACATATCATATTGTGACCTTGCCTATTCACCCTACATGAGGCCAAATAAAATAATGTTGTGGTTCTGATTACACCTCTTTAAAATTTAGAGTAGGTAGGTAAGAATTCTTTTTTTTAACATCTTTTTTTTTAGAAGTAAAGTACCAACTAATAACACATTTATCAATGTGTAATTGTTTATTCAATCACGTTTGCAGCCATCATGTCCACTTTCTCTACCAGAATGACCAATGTCCGTTGGTGCGGGAAAAACAACGGTATCTGAAAGTTTATTTTATTCATACCTCTTAAAAAAACTTGGGTGGGCACCAGAATTCAAGGGTCGGTCAGGTGATCGAACCACAACATGTTTTTTTAGGCCTAATTGGTAATTTATTCTGAAGGTTTAGAGCCAGTATTTACAATGATGTAAAATTCATTTCATTTGCATCAACATGACTATCTTCCTTCACAGGCAAAATATAATTAGCTGTTAGCTGTGATACATGCATTTCAATTTGTGATCGCATAGAAACATCACAATGCTAACTCATCTTACTGGTCTCACTGACAGTTTTAATGTTCTTTTGTAAATAGAACAAACATGCATTCACTGAGTTACATAATCATGATAATATGAGTTAAGTGATTCAATTTACGATCACACAAGTCATGCCATTTAATGTGTCTGATATTGCAATGTTAATAACATCTGTCAACAAAATTAAAATTGAATACCACTGAACAATGCTGAAACTAGGAACATATGTCACATGGAAAAATTTCCTTCCGTAAACCCCACTTTTATTAAAGATTTCCGCCAGTAACCCTGAAGTGTTTTTTTTATCATTCTGTACCTATGAATAGATGGGGATTTTTTTAGGCTAGAATGCACTTTACCTAGCACAGCCCTCGCTGCTCCCTTTACCATCCTTAGGGTTGGGGTTTAGGGTAAGGGTATGCCACCCTTTACGATCCTTAGGGTTAGGGTTTAGGGTAAGGGTATGGGTATGCCACCCTTTACGATCCTTAGGGTTGGGGTTTAGGGTTAGGCACCCTTTACGATCCTTAGGGTTAGGGAACCCCAGCAGCTCTAATTAATCTGAAAAAGTGCGCCCGGTAAAGTGCAGTACTCCCTTTTTTTTATAGAAAGCCCAACCTTAACCCTAAACCTAACATAATAATCAAAACCCTAAACCCAAGAAATATTATAATCATAATAAATAGAATACATTTCAAGCAGGCCTTACGGGCGGAACTCTTACCCACTTTCTTGTCATTTTATGCCTAAGAATAGATATTTTTTTTTATAAGAAAAAAATTAACCCTAACCCTAAACCCTCAAAATAATTCTAATAGAACACAATTACAGCGGGGGTTAGTTACGGGCGGAACTCTCGCCTGTCGGTTTCCTGGTTTTGTAATTATAACACATAATAGTCTGCTGTTATTACTTTAAATACACTTAATATCTTATTCACAAAAATGTCGATTGTCCTGGTATGTAAGCACGTTATGTTTCGGAATGACGTATCTGGTTCTATTGTTGATGTTCTAATGAAAAACTTCTCACTTACATTTATCGATGACTTCTGGCTGTGTCAGATCTATGTCAAACGTATCAAACTCTTCAACGAGATCCTCTTCTGAAACTGAAGTCATATCTATTATGATCGGGCTGGTAACTACACGAAGCTCGAAAATGACTCTATCTTCTTTTTCAGTTTGATATTTGCTTTTCCCGCGATATTTTCACTCACTTCCGTTCCCATAAAGTAGGTCAGCAGAAAAAGGTTTTACGTTGTGTAAAACCGTATAAACTTAGGTACATCGTTTTCATCTCCTAAAAGACAATGCATCGGCCCCAAGAAATAAGTTATGCATTCAACCAGTTGTAATGTATTTTCAGCTGAGCTTAAAATCCCGAAATTGCTGTTCCGCAGTGAGGCGTCCCCAGTTTCAAGATGGACGATTGCAACCTTGACAAGTTGGGTGTAAAACCTGGGAAACTCGAGCCTGCATTCAAGCGAGATATTACTGAATATAACATTACTGTTGCTAGCGATGTCGAGAAGATATCGTTTGACCCTCTCACAAGCGACACTGGTGCATCATATTCGATTTCGGTAAAAAAGCATTTATTTTCATACTGCAAAACACTACCTGCAGCCAACAGCTGATCAGCAGGCATCACTTGCGATCAAAGTATACTTAAATGTGAATGGGGTTCATTGGCATAAATATTGTATGCATGTTTATATTTTAAATCACTGTCAGTTAAAATATATATAATTATCGACCAACAGAAAAAGACAACAAATCCGGCTCGCTCTGGCTTCGTTACGTACGTTCTCCATGTTAAAATCGCGAAAAAGGAATGAATTACCAAATCAATATCAGATGAAATTCAGAATGTAATAGCCACGTGTATGAATTAGTTTCAGTTCTTTTATAATGGAACCAAACAGCTTGTTTGCATAACATATTATCTATTGGTTGCCATGGTTAACTTAAATCGCTCTGTTTCAGGGGGGTGAAGGTGGCAAGCAAGTGCCCCTCCCAGAAGGAGCTGTGACGGACATTAAGATTGAAGTAACTGCTGAAGATGGAACAACCAAGAAATATTTCATTCATGCCAGGAGATTGTCTGCTAAAGATGCCACCCTTAGCACCCTCAAACTTAGCATTGGAAAACTGGACCCTGAGTTTGCAGCATCTACTACTGAATATTCATGTATGTTGTGTATTGACAGTCTCTTGTAATGTTAAAAGCTATGAATCTTATTTTTGTTAATTAATTCCCCGTCTGTAATATTTGAAAAACAACAACATACTTCTGTTTACACTCATGTCACAACTTTCAGACACAGTGCTTATGATGGGTTGAGCTATAAAGCGGCCTTCACACGGCAAAATAATGTTTGACAACACATGTTAGAATCTTTAAAGTTGTCAAACTCGTGTTTTCACACATCAAACACATGTTGTCAAACTTTCGTGTCATTTGAACGACAATTTCTTTGACTGCGATTGGTTGTTTCTGAACAACAAGAGTTTGACAACACTTCACACATCAAACTCGAGTTTGACAACACTGAAAGTTTGATTGAAAAGTTTGTGAGAATAGAGACCGATCTTATTTCTCGACAACAGTTTGACAACTCTGAAATTGGTGTTGGTGGCGAGTTGTTGGAATGTTCACACTCTCAAGCTCAGGTTTGACCACATATGTGTATAGTTTGCCATGTGAAGGCCGCTTAGGGTGCCTTGCACATGATTGATGACAGTGATGTTTGCACTCAACAATGTTTAAAATTTATGCTTATAAGAAAAAACAATAAAGTTTTGATAAGAACTATTTGCACTGTTAAGACAAAGAAGTGAATGTAACACATGTACATATATATTTCCACATTGTGTATTTGGTACAAACAAGTGAATGTTCAGGTTTTGAAACAAACAGGGAAACATGACAATTCAGACCACCACAAAACAGATAACAGTACAGCGTTAAGCTTAAAACAAAGTTTTACCAAAAGCTGACTGAAATCAATGCTGATTATCCAGTTAATGAATAGGGAATAGATTTAAGATATTCACTGTACCCCGTAATTAATTAAATCACATCAGCGACTGTGGGATATATTTGTTGGGGCTGTTATAATTCACTCACATATTCCTTCATGAATTCAACTTATTTATTACAATCTCAGCTGTTGTTAACTCACTTAATTTAAATTTAAACAAGGGCTTGCTTGCATGAGGCCACTATATCTAATGTATCTTTAATAATATCGCACTTGCCAGAATTCAGATTGCATCAGATACCACAAGGACATGCTTGTCACAATATGTGTGCTATAATCTTGAAGTTAAACTCATTTTCACTCAAGGGGCGGTAGGGTAGCCTAGTGGTTAAAGCGTTGGCTCGTCGCGCCAAAGACCCGGGTTCGATTCCCCGAATGGGCACAATGTGTTAAGCCCATTTCTGGTCTCCCCAGCCGTGATATTACTGGAATATTGCTAAAAGCGGCGTAAAACTAAACTCAGTCAGTCAGTCATTTTCACTTAACCTCCAAAGTGCAGTCTTTTTGGATCAGTTCATATCAACAATAAAATGTATGCTGATTTTCACAAAGTTTGGGTTCTCTTATGGAATCTTGGTTTGGTTCATGTGATGTATTTCTTCAGGTCTACTTCCGTGTAACATAACAACTCTGACCGTAACCCCCACTGCCCCGGACATAAAGAATGCAATCACTGTGTGTGGGGAGAAGCCTGGATCCCCCACCCCCCTCAGTGTGGGCGAGACACAGATTCCCATAGAAGTCACATCGGCTGATGGCTCCAACAAGCAGGTAGATAATGCTTGGATCAAAGTGTCACATGTTTCTTAACTTCTGAAACATCATCTGTTTGTAAGGTCCTCTTCCAAATTTGATATGTTTCACAATTATATCATTAACTGTCACATCATCGTCAATAATGAGATACATTTGTTTATAATTTTGACCACTTCTATAATCTGTACTCATGTGTTTTTTTATTCACAGTTGTTAGGGAGCATTTGATTGACGCCTAGGAGTTCAACTTGGAATTAACAGCATCATACAAACATTTGAAGTTACAAATACATGTAATTACATAAAGTAGTCCACAGACATCATGATATTTAAAATAAAATCTACTTTAAATAATTCCTAAACACACATTCAGGCCATAAACATGATAAATGCATACCAATTTCTTATCTCTCATTCTCTCGAACTGTAGTAGAAATGACCTGTGCTGTTTAAATTAGATTGATATATATGCCAATTGAATGGCATTACCTTATATTTTCTGTCACCAAATGTTTCATATATATCATGTTTATCAACTGATTTCAGGCAAAAATACCAAAGTGTATGGATATTATTGGTCGTAATGATTGACTCTTATTCAGCATTGTAATGTCAACTAACTTTTTGTGTACTACAAGTAGTTATTTCTGTGCTATATGATTTTGCTTTGATAGGTAAAAGAAGTAAATTGTTTCCAGAGTGTGTTTACATGTTTTTTCTCTTCAACATACACACTAGTTTTAGTTGTAATTGTGATATTCTAGTTGTTTTACTGTCCTTTGTCGACAGGTTTTTATAATATACATCTATTCTATTTCAATGTCACATATGTTCTCGTCACGATATTGCTGCAATATTGCCGATGTGACGTTAAATAATAACTCACTCACTCACTCTTCAACATAATTGTTTGTGTTCAGACATACACAGTTACTGTAACGAAGAAGCAACTCCCCCGCTACGTGAAACTGACGGATCCCAAGATGGCCTTGCAATATGAATGTCCCATCTCTCTCAACCCCATCTATCGACCAATCACAATCAAGAACAGTGACCCAAGGCACACATTCTCTGCGCCACTTATCGATGAGTACACAAAGACGTCCAAGTTTGACCCCCTGAACAGCATGCCCCTGGGCACCGACTGGAGGGTGATGGACTACGCTCTGGATAGTAAACTGTCCTCCATTGATGGCTGCATACCTCTTACCTATGGAGGTATGGCTGCAGGTTAAAATGTTAAGCGGGAATTCAGTGGTGACATTGATACATTGATATATGCATTATGGGTGAAACGATACAGCAAGGTTACGATGTGGTACATAACACGATACAGCATGGTCACGTCACTTGCTTGATAACAGTGTTAGCAATCTACACTGAAACATTGCTTGCATTAATAATAAAGAAGTTGCATATCCATAGAACTTTACCCATTGCTCCTTACACAAACAGACCTGTGAAGATCCGGGTTAGAATTGGTCGTCAGGAACCCATGTCACAAGAGGTGACTAATGGGATCGGGTGGTCAGGCTGACTTGGTCGACACATGTCATCGTATCCCAGTTATGTAGAACGATGCTCATGCAGTGACCACTGGATTGTCTGTTCCAGACTTGATTATTTACAGACCACTGCCATATAGCTGGAATATTGCTGAGTGGGATGTTATGCAGCAAACCAACCAACTTACACCAACTTCTCGATGCCACTCAAAGTAGTGGTCACAATATGATAAACTGTCACAATATAGCAAGGTCATGATTGATACATATCATGATACCTCAAGATCACGCTATGATACATTACATGATACAGCATGGTCATGATAAGATACATGTCACAATATAGCAATGTCATGACATTTATATATATTACAATACAGTAGATGGAGTTTATTTGCAAGTGTAACACAACAGTAGCAATACTCCAGCTATAAGACATCTGAGTGTTAAAGGGGCGGTGGGGTAGCCTAGTGGTTAAAGCGTTTGCTCGTCATGCCGAAGACCCGGGTTCGAGTCCCCACATGGGTACAATGTGTGAAGCCCATTACTGGTGTCCCCCGCCGTGATATTGCTGGAATATTGCTAAAAAGCGGCGTAAAACCATACTCACTCATTCACTCACTGAGTGTTAAAAATATGTCTGGACCTAACACAGTATGTTGTGTAAGCTGGAGTGACCGAGGTGTCGGAATAAAATACAATCCCAAATTTAAAATTCAATTTCTTTCTTCAGGTGCTTCAGAGGTCATGAAGTACAGGGACCTTGACGCCAGCATTGAAAAGTGTAATGTCGCACCAAAAACTGAGGTACGTGGTTCACTGAGCATATTTTAGGTTAGGTCAAGTTTTTATATTACCAGGTACTTAGTTTTCAGGTTTTTTTGCTGACGTGACGTGATATCCACCAG